TTTTGTTCCTAAACAAATGTGGCTGGATTTGATTGCAGCAGTGGGAGCAGCCACTGGTGACTTAAGCCTTGGATGACAACAGAGCCACAAATCCAAACCTGAAGATGCTGCAGAGAGGGGTCGGGGTCGAACAAAAACGCCAAGGATTGGGTCACCTCGCCAAGCCAAACGCTGCCAGGGAGAACTTGGATGGAATAATGTTCCCCAGCAAAGCTATTTACTCAGGGAGTGGAATAACAAGGCTTAGGGCTTAATCATTTTATAGGACTGTTTTGGTTCCCTGTGCAGTGATGGGGGGGGAGTTGGCTGGAGGAAAGATGAAGTTATTGAAAGGACAAAGGGGAAACAAAACAAAAAAAAAGGTGGAGTTCTGGGTTGGGAATTGCAGATGGATGTTTAATGGGATGGAGCCACCCAGCCTGGCCACCCCTGTCCCCCCCCCAGCACTATCTCAGTGTGGTATTTAATCAGCTCCCATTATATTTAGCCTGCTATCAGATTCCAGGAATAACTGCAGATAAGGTGGTGGCACAATCCCAAATTCCCTCTCCTCACCTCCTCCCAGAGCAGGAGCCAGGCCCTCCAACCCCCAGCCACACACAAGCCTCTGGTTCTGGGAGGGGACCTGAAATATTCTGCTCAGATTCAGCCACTGCTGCCTTCCCAGGGCAGAGACAAGGAATAAACCCCTCTCCTTTTAATTCCCAAAGGGAGGAGGGCAGGGATTCTCTCCCTCTCCTGCTCCTGCAGTCTCTCCCACGCTGTCTGGGGAGAGGATGGGACACGAGGGGCGACCGCTTTCCTGGGATTACTGGGCTGGGCTTTGGGCCACGTTGCCAAAATCCCCCAGTTATGAGATTTAAGACATGACATTTGAAATTTCTCGCTGTTTTGTCTGTGGGTTTTTTTTTTCTGGGAATCTCAGAGACCCGGAGCAGGAGACGGGGCCTTAAAAAAATCTAACTCAAACAAACCTAAGTCTAGCTCAGAGGGGGTTTCCCACACCCCCCTCCTCTTTATTTCCTGGAGAACACACACACATTCCCAGCCCTATTTGGGAATGCTGCGTGGAGATCCTGCACTGCTTTGGCGTTTTGAGATGTTGGCACCCCGTGTTTTTGGGGACAGGGAGCCCAAATCCCACCGGAGCAGGCGGCTTTCCCGGCTCCTCTCGTTATCCAAACAGAGATTCCTGGCTCCCACCACCCTCCCTCCCCGTTGCTCTCCCAGCTGCACGGCTCTCTTGGAGCTGCTGGAAAACTTTCAGCAGAGCCGCCGAGAACCCGGCAAAGCTCAGAAGTTAAAACAAAACAAAATAGCAACAAAATAAAAATGTGGTTTGGGTGGAGACACCTCGGCCCCGAGTTGCCGGTGGGGTTGGGGAAGGAATTAGGGATGGGGAAGAGGTTGCGGGAGGCTGAAGTGAAACTGCTCCCCCCCCGCCCCGGCTCTCCTCCGACGGGAACCTCTGGGGAGAAAAATGTATTTCCTCAACGACCGAAAAAGCCACGTTTCAGCCCAAAAACACGGAGCAGCTGCACGAGCCCCGGAGCTGCTTCCCGGTGCCTCCGCCCGCAGCCGGGACAGGACGGGATCGGGACGGGAATGGGATGGGGACGGGACTGGCGGGGTCTGAGCCGTTTTGGGGGGTGAAAGCCGAACCCCTCTTTTCCCGGGGGGTTGCCTGATCCCGTCGCTCCCATCCCAACAGGACCATACAGAGTCACAGCGGCGAGCGCCGGCACGGGGTGGGCGAACGGGGATTTTGGGGGCTCCCCAGGCGGGCGGGGGGATCGCAGGGAGGGAGCGCTGCCCACCCCCATCATCCCTCCTCCCCATCCATCCCGCGCCCCTCCCCAACACCCCCAAAATCCCCCCACCCCCAGGACCCCCGTACCTGCCGTCCCCGGCGGGGGGACCCCCAGCAGGACCCCCAGGAGGACGAGGCGGTGCCCCCAGCCCGGGGGGGGCCCCGGGCCGGCCATGCCGCCGCTGCCGGGGCTGTCACGGCCTCCGCTCGCCGCCCGCGCTCCGAACCTCCCCTTCTTATGCCGGCGGGTCCCTCCTCCCTCCGCCCGCCGCCCCCCGAGCGCTGCCCGGCCCGGCCCGGCCCGGGGGGCGGCGGGGAGGGGGCGGCTTTGTCCGCCCTTATTTATGGCTCTGAGTTTTGGCCCGGCCCGGCCGCTTAATGAGAACCAGAGCTGGAGGCTCGGAGGCTCCGCAGGGCTCCCCCCGCGGCTTCCACCCATCCATCCATCCGTCCGTCCGTCCGTCCGTCCCTCCATCCCGGCATCCCCACCCGGGGGGTCCCCGCTGCTGCTTCGCCCCCCTTCTTGTCCTGGGTGTCCCCCCACAGGCTGCCTGCACAAGGAAAGCAGTGGGGGAAGCAATAAAAGCAATAATTAAATGAAAGTCATAAATAAAAATATCAAATAAAATAATAAATAAAATGCGTAAAATTAATACTTAAATTTAGTACGTAAAATCAATACATAAATTTAATACATAAAATTAATACATAGAATTAATACATAGAATTAATACATAGAATTAACACATAAAATTAATACATAAAATTAATACATAAAATTAAAGGAAAGAAAAGGAAAGAAGAAAATAAAATAATATAAAATAATACAACATACAATTAAAATTAAATAAAAATAAGAGAAAATAAAATAAATAAGATACAATAAAATAAACTAAGATAAAATAAAATAAATAAGATACAATAAAATAAAATATGAAATAAAATATAAATAAAATAAAGATCAAATAAAATAGAAAATAAAAGAAGATTAAAATAAATGTTTAAGTAACTCCATTCATTCCACTTTGGGTGCCTTTCTGACACTCCACAGTTGTTGTTGTTATTAACATTAATTTTATTGATTATTAACATTATTAGTCATACTATTAATTAATACTATTGATTATATTAATAATATAAGCACAGAATGGTTTGGGTTGGAAGGGACCTTAAAGATCACACAGTTCCACCCCCTGCCATGGGCAGGGACACCTCCCACTAGCCCAGGTTGCTCCAAGCTCCATCCAACCTGGCCTTGGACACTTCCAGGGATGGATATTATCAGTATCATCCAACCAATCCCATCAAACCAGTGGTGGGACAGCGAGTGTGGGGATGAGGGAATGTTCACTTCCCTTCCTTGAGCACACACACACATTCCCAGCCCCTCTGGATCCTGCCCTGGAGTCACCCAACCCTCCCTCCCACATGCAGGGCAAGGATTCATCAATAGTTATTCAAGCCCTATCAGAAATATTGATTAACACCAGTAATGAAAGCTTTGCAAACAATTTCACCCTGAGAGCGGGGACAGTTCCAGGCACCCCGACCCCGAGTGCTCCAGGGACCTCTGGCCCAAGGTGACATCTGGGGACAGGAAGGCACAGGGGACTTGGGGGGAAAGAGAGAGGGAGGAATTGCTGGCTGTGAGGGTGGGGAGGCCCTGGCACAGGTTGGGCAGAGAAGCTGTGGCTGCCCCTGGATCCCTGGAAGTGTCCAAGGCCAGGCTGGAGCAACCTGGGCTAGTGGAAAGTGTCCCTGACCATGGCAGGGAGTGGCACTGGATGATGCTTAAGGTCCCTTCCAACCCAAACCATCCTGTGCTTCCACGATCTTCTGCCCTTTCTGCACAGCAACAGCTCTCCCTGAAGCTCATGGAAGACCTGGGAAGGTCCCTCCACCTCCAGGAAAGGAGAAAAGCAGCAAAAAAACCCAGTCAATCCAAAAAACAAAGCCCTGGAAGCGTGTGGGGAGAACCTGAGGGCACTGCAGGCTCAGCAGCTCGCAGGGGGTTCGGCACAGCAGCCGTAAATCCACAGCCTGGCACAGAACTGGGAGACATTCCAAGGCAGGACAGGGCTCCCAGCCATCAGGAAACCATCAGGGTCCAGAGGGATGAGGCAGAGTACTGGGAAGGACTTTCCAGGAGGGGTGAGCCAGGGGTGGGACGGAGCAGGAAGAAGGAAAGCCAGGGCAGCCAACAGGCTCTGGCGTGGCCTCACCGTTCCTCCACAGATCGGGACATTTTTCCTCGTTCCTCCCCTTCCCCAACCAGGCAGAAGTTTCTCTGCTTCCCACCAGCCCAGGGAATGTGAGCAGAGCTTGGGATGTGAAGCCCATGGCCCTGCACGGGGCTGGGGCAGCAGCTGGGGGGGGGATCCAGAGCCTACAAAAAAAGCCTTTTTGTGCGGGGGAACAGGCGTCGTTCCCGTGCCTCCAGCCTGGATCACTTGATATCCCTGCTGACAAAAGCCAACAGAAGCTGTGGCACCCGACCAGGACCTGCAGCTGGGTCACAGCCTGGCAGCTGAGCCCAGATTCGGGGATTCCTGCAGCCTGGAGTGAGCCAAGAGCAGCACGTGGGAAGCAGGGGTGGGAATCACTCACAAACCAGGGAATTACAGGCAAGGAGAGGCTCCTGGTATCCGTTTTCAGGGGGCTCCCAGGAGCTCCTCCATAGTCATGAGGGAGGCAGCCAGGACAGGGACACACAGCATGGGAGGGGTGATCCTGGGCACCCACATTTTGGGGCTTCACTGACCCATCAGCTCAAACACCATCACCCTTCACCCATCACGGGACCTTTGCAAAGGACACGCTCAGCTGTGACACAGAATCCCAGAATCAGTGAGGCTGGAAAAGCCCTCGCAGCCCAAGGATCCCCCCTGTGCCCCATCCCCACCTTGTCCCCCAGCCCAGAGCACTGAGTGCCATGGCCAGGCCTGCCTTGGACACCTCCAGGGTGGGGACTCCAAATCTCCCTGGGCAGCCCCTGCCACGGCCTGACCACCCTTTCCAGGGAGAAATTCCTGCTGATGTCCAACTTGCCCCTCCCCTGGCACAGCTGGAGGCCGTTCCCTCTCCTCCTGTCCCTGTTCCCTGGGAGCAGAGCCCAACACCCCCCCGGCTCCCCCCTCCTGTCAGGGAGTTGCAGAGCCAGAAGGTCCCCCCTGAGCCTCCTTTTCTCCTGGCTGAGCCCCCCCAGTTCCCTCAGCTGCTCCTGCTGCTCCAGCCCCTTCCCAGCTCCGTTCCCTTCCCTGGATGCATTGCCCTTCTCTAGTAAAACACTTCTCTGCTGCTCAAAAAAGCTTTTGCCCTGACAGACCCCCAAAAAAGTCTCTTCAGACCAAACTTCACACAATCCCTTCAAATGACAGTTCAATCCACACGTGATGTCACAGGAACTCGAGCTGAGGAGGCCACGGCTGGAGCGTCATCTCCTCCAGATCCAACGGGGAAGTCTCAGGGGGCTCATCCCTGTCCAGAGGAAGGTCAGGGCTGGCTCCTCAGCAGATGACTCATGGAGGCCTGGCTGGGACCAGCAGCCACACAGGGGGATTCATGGAATCCACCGAATCCATCTCAGGTAGGGAAACCACAACTTCAGGAAAACGAGCTGGAGTCTCTCCTACATCACGAAGTTTGAAGCAGCTTCTGATGAAGCAACAGGGCTGCATCCCACATGGGCACAGGGATGAAATTGGACTGGATTTAAAAAATCCCCTTTTTCCCTAGGAAGACCTCTCCCAAGTGTCCTCATCCCCGTGGAATTTGAGCGCCTTCCAGGAGCGCATTAATCACCGCCGCTTCCATTTGTCACGCCGGGGGTCCTTCACCCGCCCTCGGGGGCTCCTCTGACCCGGGGAATTCAGTTTATCTGCTGATGGAGGCAGAGAAATATTAATAAAAGCTTGACTTTCAAACCCTGCCTGTGTGAAAGAGCCGAGCCTTTCCCATTTCCAGCAGTCGGGAAGAATTCCCACCCCGAGCCACCCGATGACTTCACCGTCACCCGGCTCGTAAGTGCAGCAGAAAGGAAACAATATATTAAGATCTGCTTTACTGGATCAAAAGGTTGATCTGGACTAATGAACAGCCAGCCAGGAAGTCATGTCTTCATCAGGGAATGGTTTCAGGAAAAGGGAATTGCAAACCAGGAAAAAAATAAGATGGAATTAAGGGAGATTGGATAAAAAGTCTGTAAAGTCTTTAATTCATCTAATTCTGGATGAGCATGGAAGGGGGTTGGAATTAGATGGTTTTTAAGGTCCCTTCCAGCCCAAATCTTCTGGAATTCTAGAAGAGGAAGTGGTTTCCTCACCTGCAGTTCCACAGGGCAAATCCTTCCTTGCCTCCTCCTCTTCCAAGTCGTCCCGTTGTGTTCTCCTACAATGCCTACAAATTTACCACCAGAATTCCTTCTGGGAAGGGTCCTCCAGCAGCCACCACACTGGACCAGGCCACATCCAGGCAGATGTTTGGTAACATGACTGAATTCTGGGAGGAACTTCCTTTTCCAAGGAAATTGGGCGCTCCAGCTCTATTTTTACATCCTCGTCACAAGAGATTTCCAAGGGATTCTTTCCAGTTACCAGCAATGAGAGAATGTGTCCCAAACATCCACTCAAGCCCCATCAGGGCCTGATATGAGAAGGGTTCTCCATGGAAAGGATTCCAAAAAAAATCCAAACAAACTTGAGTGGTTCTCCATAGGAGGGACTCCAAAAACACCCACCAAAAACCAGAGGACTGACCATGTTTCTCTAAAAGTCTCTCAGGGTGGAATTTCCAGCACAAAAGGGAGAACTCTTGGAAATGGCCATGGAAGAGGAAGTGGAAGGTGCAAAAAATAAAAAGCCTCTTATTTTAAAATCAAGTCTCAAAGCATAAGGTGGATTTTTTAATACCTCTTTTCCAGTTCCTTGTTTGTCCACCCCATCCACCACGTTTCCCACCTCAAGTTCAGGTTGTGGACACACAGCAATCCCTGTGAGGGGAGGCTGCTGATCCAAGAACATTCCTGATTAATTGAGAGTAAAAATCTGCTCCTGCAGGAGTCCAAAAAAAAAAAAAAAAATCAGTTCTGTCCTCACTGAGCTCCCCAAAATTTGCAGAACTTCACTGGATGACTCCACTCTGGAAGCAACACAAGCCAAGCTGAGTTCTTGGAATGAAGTTTGGAGTGTTGGAAGCAGGGACTCCAAACATCAACAGTCTCCTTCCCCCAGAACTGTAAACACTGGCTGCTCTGCATCCAGCACAAGATTTATCCCATGGCAGTGGAATGGGGGTGAGTCAGCTTCACGAGAATCCCTGAGGGAGAAACCGAGGGAGGGATGGACGACAACACTCCCCTCCTCATCAATTTTGGGAGAAGATTTCAGCACCCAAAGGGTGATGAAACCAGCCCTGGCACAGCTGCCCAGGGCAGGGGTGGATCCCCATCCCTGGAGGGGATGTGGCACTTGGGGACAGGGGTGGCCTTGGCAGTGCTGGGAATGCTTGGACTTGACCTCAGAGGGCTTTTCCATCATCAAAGCCCTTCAGCTCCCTTTGGTGTTTCATCATTGCAAAGCTAAAGGCAGAGTTAAGCAGCTGAATGGCCTTAAACGAGTTCAAAGTGAGGGAAGATCTTGTCAGGACTCCCAAGACACCCCAATTTCTCGTCCCAGGGAACAAGTCCATTCCTGTATCAGACACAACCAACAATTCCTTCCCAATATCCCATCTAAATCTTCACTTTTCCAGTTTGAAGCCATTCCCTGTGTCCTGTCCCTCCATGCATTGTCCCCACAGTCCCTCTCCAGCTCTCCTGGAGCCTCTCCAGGCCCTGGAAGGTGCTGGAAGGTCTCTCCAGAGCCTTCCCTCTCCGAGCTGTGCCTCAGTTTCCGCAGAATTGGGCGTTTTCTCAAAACTGCTCCTTGAACTGAGTTACTGAGAACACCTGAGGCAGAGAGAATAGGAAACCACAGCTCACACCCACTTCATTCTCCCTCAGATGTGTTTTTTCCTGTTTATCCACCACACGAGCTCCACAGTGACAAGAAAAACATCACTTAAGATTTTACCACCAAGAACCACAAACCTCTGTATTTTCTCTTTGAAGTGATGCTGGTTGAAGGTGCAACCAGGCAGGACATGACCATCTCATCAGGTGGGGGTGATTCTCCCTGGAAAGCCTTAAAAATTCCCCCCAAAATCCTCAAAAATACCTCTGATTAGACTCTCTCCAGGTTCATCCCCAGACAAGCTGCAACAGTTTACTACAACTCAGGTGCTTTATTCAGGTTTTTTTTTTTGTTGTTATTAAAAACAAGGAAATTTTCTACAAGACAGGAATTCAAAAAATAATAATAAAAAAATCATTGTTCAAACCCCATTGAAAATAAATATAGAAAGCCTCTATTCCAATCAGGGAGCTGTAAATATATTATGAGGCGAGTTTTTCCCAACTATGCTGACTTTGGAAGCGCATCAAACCCCTACAAAAAAAACCCCCATAAAAGCCTGACACTCATCCCAAATCGTTGATTCTTAAACAGGGCAAGATCAGATCAGTACAAAAAGCCACCCAACACCACAAAATCTGAGCTGTAAAAGCATTCCCTGCGTGTTTTGGTTTTTTTTTCCTTCCACGTCACATTCTGCTCCGGGGCTGGAACATCCCAGGGTGGTTTGAAGGGATCATTCCCATCAGTCCCAAGGCACCTTCTTCCCTAAGATGTGGTTGGTGATTTTCTGCAGGGAAAAGAAAGTGAAAGAGATGAGTTTTTGGGGTGATTTTGAAATTCCAAATGCTGAGCAGGACTTTCAAGCCCATCCAGTTCCAACCCCCTGCCATGGAACACCTTCCCCTAGACCAGGATGCTCCAACCTGGGAATTAAAGGCTAATAAAACACTGCAAAATGGGTGTTCATTGACACTTTTTAGGACACCTAAATCAGCCCAGTTGTTTCTCACTCCTTCCCATGAAAAAAAAAAAAGCAGGATAATGCCATGCAGGCTGCTGTGGGAATGGTCAGGAACAAGCCTAAAGATATCAAGGTTAAAAATATCTTGGAATTAGCTGAGAGATTGTTCCCTGAATATCCATGATCATGTCTCCCCTCCACCTGCTGAGCAGAAACTTTTGGGAGTCACCTGTTCCCAAATTTGGGATGTATTCAGGAAAGGACACAGGAGAAGAGCAACATGGACAGTGGAAGGCACAGAAAGTGTTTTCTACAGCAATCAATGGAATAAATTAGGAATCCAACAGGAAGGATGAAGGGGAGATGGAAGTCCTGCACAATCCTGAGCTGCCTGAAAATGTAGGGGAAAAGTTCTTTCCAAACCCTTCCAAAAAAAAAAGGTAATAAAAAAAAAAAGGTAATAAATTTTCAAGGAACAACCCAAACACAGAATACCTGGTGGAGCTGGATGGGCTTTAAGGTCCCTTCCAACCCAAAGCAGGCTGTGATTCCATGATTTTTCCCCTGACATCTCCCATCAGCCCTCAGAGCTCCCAAACCCTCCCAGATCTGTGGTGGAATTGTCTCCCAGCTCCAGAACAAAGTGCTTTTCCCTTTGGGGCAGTGACACCTTGTGGTCCCTTTCTTAAACAAAATAAGTTTCCTCAATGCTAATATTGCTTTTCTTTTTTTTTTTTTAAGGGATAGAGGGAAGCACATAAATCACATTTATGCCCTTTATGGAGGTTTCTCCCATATTCCCTACTTATTAAAAACACAAACTCACTCTGTTTAAAGGAAAAGCCTCAGGTATGGAACGAATTTGTATCTGATAAACTCATAAAATCCATTTTCACTTCACTGAGGTTCAGAGAGTTCTGATTTCTGCCACCATCAGATCAGGAATCTGTCTCCACTCCATAGTTTTCCAAATTTAAGGCCATTCCCTGCCCTGCTCTGACTGGGATGATTTTATGCTCCATTTGAAATTAAAAAGTACAAAAGCAAAGGGATACTGAGGCAGAACATCAGGTGACAGGAATCAAACCAGGAGCCAGCTCTGCTCCAGAGGCAGGACCTGCTGTCCCACATTCCCAGAGAGACCCTCCAGACCACACTTCGGGCACAGTGGATCCCTAAATCCCAAAATCCCCAGATCACACACGTTTGCAGTGTAGCTTTTCCACCAGCTCTTTTCTCCCCCCAGTTCCCTGCCTCATTTTTGGAGTCATTCCACAAAATCTGTGGTTCTTTATCTCATGAATGATCCATGCATGGAATTGATGCTCTCAGCAACACATCAACCACATTCCAAACAAAGCATTCCCTGTATCTGCAGCTCCTCTGCATCAGCAAGGAAAAGTAAAATATTCCAATTATTCACCACAGTGAATCAGCATCTTCCAATCAAAACCACACTGATATCCAAAACTTCTGATCCTATTCCCTCCCTGCTTCCAGCTGACTCTGCTATTCCAAGTCAGTGACTTCCAGCATTCATTGAACTCCTCAAACTTTACTGCACCAGCACCTGGAATTCTCAGACTGCTGGGAAAAAAATATGTCCTGAAAATACCCTGCAAAAATACAGCATCAAATCCGAGCACTTCTGGAGGAGAATCCCCACAATCACACTGGGAAGATGTTCTGGATAACACATTGAGTCACAAGCCCTGACTTTTAAAATCCAACTACTGGCATTCCCAATAAAATTATTATCCCAGCTGTGGCTGGAATAACTAATATTTCAGCTCTGGTTGGACTGACTCAGCCAGGAAAGGGTTGTAATGCTAAAAGTGAAGTAGGTCAGGTTAAAAACCCCAGTGTTTGTACTACAAAGGGTTTGTTGTTCCTCATCTTTTGGGTCCCCAGCACGGGAAGGACATGGAGGTGTTGGGAGTGAGTCCACAGGAGTTCAGATTACAGGGATGGAGCAGCTCTGCTGTGAGGAAACACTGGGAAAATTGGGATTGTTCAGCCTGGAAAAGAGAAGGCTCTGAGGTGACCTAATTGTGGCCTTCCAGGACCTGAAGGAGCGACAAGGAACACAGGGAGAGACTTTGGACAAGGGATGGAGGGACAGGACAAGGGGAATGGGCTTCAGAAGGAGAGAGGGGAACTTTAGGTTGGATATTGGGAGGGAATTCTTCCCTGGGAGGGTGGGAAGGGACTGGAATGGAATTCCCAGAGAAGCTGTGGTTGCCCCTGGATCCCTGGAAGTGTCCAAGGCCAGGTTGGAGCAACCTGGGCTAGGGGAAGGTGTCCCTGCCCATGGCAGGGGGTTGGAATGTTGGAATGAGATGATCTTTAAGGTCCTTCCAACACAAACCATTCCATGATTCCAAGATCAGGTCTTATGAAGAGAAGCGTGAGGCTCATGGATGGTCAGTTTTGGAGATGCCCTTCTCCCAAAGGACAAACGGGGCCCCTCTGCTTATTTTAGGATTTTTCCTAAATTTTACCTCCACTTTGACCCTGATTAAATCCCAGTACAGCCTAACCCCCCCTAAAATTCCCAAACAATACCACAGGATTCCCACTTAGCAAACATTCCTCTGTATTTCTGAGTTCATGGAAGAACATTTTGGAATGTCCCGGAGTGGAACACCCACTGTTTTATAGAGCTGTGCTTTCAGGCGGTACGAGTTGTATTCCAGCCTTCTCTTCTCCTCCTCCCTCTTCTTCCTCACCTCTGGAAGCTGCTCATAGATCCTGAAAAAGAAAAAAAAAATTAAAAAAGCCCTAAATAGTAAATTGGGACTTACTGATATTAAAAAAAAAACAAAAACAAAAACAAAACAACAAAATCATCCTCTGTTTTATGTTCATGTTCTGTTAAAGGCTCCTGGCCAAGCACATCCCCGAAAAATCTATTTGGGGGTTTCCTGGGAAAATGTGGAATACAGAGGTGTGAGACAGGACATTGCCACATCCCATAAAGTCTTTCTCTTACAAGCAGCATCTCCCAAAAGCAATATTTACAAGATTAAAATGACCATGCAGCTGACACGATCACCCAGCTGAAATAGGCAGAGCCTCGATATCTTCCGTACTGAATAATTCCAGGGAATTTTCCTGCCTGGTTGTGCTGATTCCCAGTGATGTGCCCATTCATCCGTGGCAAGATTTTATCACAGGGATAACCTGATTGAGCCTCGTTAGGCAGCTTTTCCAAACTGCAGTGTTTGCAGTAATGTGGTGCTGCTGCTGAACCTTTCCCAAATGTTCTTCTAATCATGGAATCCTGGAATGCTTTGGTTTGGAAGGGACCTTAAAGATTATCAAGTTCCACCCCCTGCCATGGGCAGGGACACCTTCCACTAGCCCAGGGTGCTCCAACCTGGCCTTGGACACTTCCAGGGATCCAGGGGCAGCCACAGCTTCTCTGGGAATTCCATTCCAGTCCCTCCCAGGGAAGAATTCCCTCCCAATAAATATCCAACCGAAATTTCTCCTCTTTCAGTCTGAAGCCATTCCCACTTGTCCAGTCCCTACATTTCCCAAGGAAGGGTTTCTCTCCAGATTCCTTGGAGCCCCTTCACACACTGGAAGGTGCTGGAAGATCTCCCAGAGCCTTCTCCTCTGCAGCTGAACATTCCCAGCATTCCCAGCCCGTATCCATAGGGAAGGTGCTCCAGTCCCTTTAATCAACTTGCTCCAGTAATTTCATGTCCTCCTTACACTGGAGGCACTGGATGGATTATTCCAGCTGGGATCTCACTGATTTCTTTTCACACCCAATTCATCCCCTTTTCCCACCCCAGGGCACTGATCCCCCTGGAATTAAATCCCCTTCAATTTACCTTTTAGACCTCTGGACCATTTCACTCTTTGGAATTGCTCTTCTTTTTTCCCTCCCTGGAAAACCTACATGGAAAATTCCGAGTGAAGGGAACGATGAAAAAGTTCATTGATCACCAAGTCTTTTATAAGTTTTATAAAAGTCCTTATAAAAAACATCCTTTGTTCAAAGTCTTTATAAAAAGCCTTCATAAAAAGCTCTTGATAAAGATTTTTTTCTAAGGGTTTTATAGAGAATGAAGTTAAATAATCGCAGCATTTCTATTAAAAACACACAGAGCAAGTACAATGTGGGAATTCATTAAATTAATGACTCAACAGGAATTATTTAAAATTTAAAACTTGAATTAATGGCTGGAAATTGCATGAAATTTAAAATTTAAAACTGACAATGAATTAATTAAAATTTCATTAAATTAATGAATTATAGTGAATTGGAATTTAAAACTGAATTAATGAATTAAAATTTCATTACACTACTGAATTAAAAATAAAAGCTGAAATGAAAAACTGAATTAAAATTTCATTGAGTTAAAATAAATTCAAAGTTATAATTAAAAACAAATTAAAAACTCTTTAGAGTTCAAATGAATTCAAATTTAGAAATAAAATTGAATTAATGAGTTAAAATGTCATCAAATTAATGAATGAAAATGACTTGAACTTTAAAATTGAAAACTGAAATAACAAATTTAAAATTTGTTAATGAGGTAAAATGAATTGAAATTTAGAATTACAAACTGAATTAATTAAAAATTCATAAGGTTTCAAAATAATTAAAATTTAATTAATTAAAATTGAATTAATGAATTGAAACTAACTGAAATGTAAAGATTGAATGAGTTAAAATTTCATTAAATTAATGAATTGAATTGAGATTTAAAATTATAAACTGAATTAATGAACTTAAAATTCATTAATGAGGTAAAATGAATTCAAATTTAGAATTAAAAACTGAATTAATGAAAAATTAATAAGGCTTCAAAAGAATTAAAATTGAATTAATTAATTAAAACTAATTGAAATGTCAAGTTAAAAAATTAATTAATTGATTTAAAATTCATTAATGAGGTAAAATGAATTGAAATTTAGAATTAAAATTGAATGAATGAATTAAAGTTTCATTTAATTAATGAATTAAAATGAATTGGAATTGAAAGTTAAAAATTGAATCTGTTAAAAATTTCATTGAATTAATGAATTAAAATTTAAAATTAAAACCCGAATTGATGAACTTAAAATTCATCAACGAGGTAAAATGAATTCAAAATTTAGAATTAAAAACCGAAGGAACGAATTAAAATCTCATTAAACGAATGAAAATGAACAAAAAATTAAAATTAAAACCGGAATTAATGAGTTAAATGAAGGAATTGAAAGGTACCTCTGTCGGCCAGCAGGTGAGTGGAACTCCTGCAGCCCTTTCTCTTCCCGAGGGAATTCCCAAGCTCTTCCCGCTGGGATTGCAGCCCCCTCTGGATCCTCCTCTCCTCCATCACCAGCTTGAGGTGCTTCACTCGCTCCCCGGAGCGGGAGATGAAATCGGGGCGATGAACGGCCAGAGCCTCCTGAGGGGGGACAAAACACGGCCCAGGGTGCCCAAAGGGTCCCAAATATCCACCAGAATTCCAAAGCATGGGAAAAAAACCCCCGTCGTAATAGTTGGTGTGACGTGGAAAAACTTGCGGCCTTTATGACCCCCCAAATCTTGGTTAATAATTTGGTGACAAACAGAAAATTCAGTGGCCAGAGAGAAAAGAAATGTAAAATAAGAGTAAAATAGGAATAAAAAGGGGGAAGGGATAAGGGGGGAGGGAAAAGAAAGTAAAACTAAACTAAACTAAAAAAACCCATTATGTAGCCCACAGGATTATTTCTGCATGGAAACAAATCATGACTCCATGTAGTGCCAGATCCATTTCTGCTGGTTCCTGAGGCTGAATTATTTAAGCCCTAAAATAGCAGATATTTCAAATATTGGGGAAGTGTATTGGGGCAAGTCAGACTGGCAGAAGCAAAAAGGATGGATTTGTGATGTTTCCAATGATTACAAAGGTCACGGAATCATGGAATAGCCTGGGTTGGAAGGGACCACAAGGATCATCCAGTCCAACTCCTGGCCCTGCCCAGACACCCCAACAATCCCACCCTGTGCCCCAGAGGATCATCCCAACCCTCCTGGAGCTCTGGCAGCCTTGGGGCTGTGCCCACTGCCCTGGGGAGCCTGGGCAGTGCCAACCACCCTCTGGGGGAAGAACCTTGTCCTGAGATCCAACCTGAGCCTGCCCTGGCACAGCTCCAGCCATTCCCTGGGGGCTGTCCCTGGGCACCAGAGATAAGAAGTCAGTGTTGGCCTCTCCCTCCCCTCCTGAGGGAGCTGCAGACACCACGAGGGGAGATAAAACCAAGGAACAAAAAGTGTTTCCCCAAGGTTCAGCACAACCCTTGAAACAACCCACAGCCCATTCCCTGGAAGTGCCCAAGGCCAGGCTGGAGCACCCTGGGCTAGTGGAAGGTGTCCCTGCCCACAGCAGGGGTGGAACTGGATAATCTTTAAGGTCCCCTTTCAACCCAAACCATTCCAAGATTCTAAATCCATGGAGATCTCAGCAGTCCCAGAGTGGAGGGTCCCTCACCTGCAGCGTGAGCTTCACAAAGGGCAGCACAGGCCCCTTCCCAGCCCCTCTGTCCAGAGCTGCTGCTGGAGCCTCGTGGTGCTGCTGCCCTTCCCAGTTCTTCTCTCGGAGCGGTTCCCTCCAGGGCTTGGTGCTGCTCCAGGGCTCGAACCAGGACGGCCCAGGGCCAGAAACGGCACTGGAATGGTTTTCTTTCCTAGATTCAGATTTCGAGCCTTCTCCTTGGACAAACCACGAAGTCCCTGCTGAAAGAGCACGGGAGAGAATGAAGAGTGGGAGACAAACGTGTGCCATGTCCATTCCCTTCCATGGGCCTTTTCCTGAAGGAATCCCAGAGTAAGCACTGACTTGTGGATTATTGTATATACAAAATATAAAGTATCTTTTTTTTTTAAATTTAAAAATATTTTTGGCAGTGGTTTTGTCTAAATTTTCTTTATTAAATATATATTATAAATATATATATATAAATATTTTTGGCAGCGGTTTTGTGTCAAATTTCTGGATTAAATCAGAGTAAGAACTGACTTACTGAGTATTGTATACATTTTATATACAATATATATGGTATAATTTTTAATTTTTAAACATTTTTGGCAGCAGTTTTGTCTACATTTTCTTTATTAAATACATATTGTAAATATACAAATATATAAATAAATATACAGGCATATAAATATTTTTGGCAGTGGTTTTGTCTAAAATTTCTTTATTAAATCTGTATTATAAATATATACATATATAAAAATAAATATAAATATATAAAAATATTTTTGCATTGGTTTTCTATAAATTTTATTAAATATAAATATATATATAAAAATACCCCCCAAATTACCATGGACACGATGCCAGCATTCCCGAGGGATGCTCTGGGATGGCTGGACGGATCTTGGCGTTGGAAAAGTCAATCCAACATCTCGGGTGTTTCTCTTGGTTGCACTGTTGACAATCTCCAAGTCTCCTGGAATTGCAAACAAAGTAGGAATTTCTTATTCCAAGAGCAGCTGGAATTGCCACACGAAGCGCTGGGGGTGACCCTTAATTTTAATTAGAAGTTGAAGAATCATTTGATTCCCCCTCCACCTTAAAAAGTAAAAATGTTTTTTTTTTTTTTTAAACTTTTATTTATTATTCCCACTTCCAAATCAAGGAGAGTTTCCAGTGACTCAGGATTGTCACAGGGTGATAATCAGAGCCAAATTAAAGTGGTGTAACCCAAACACACAAAGCAAAATATACATTTATATGGGGCAGTGGGAATTAAACCTGAACAAACTGTGGGCCAGGAAAACACTTTTCTGATTCAATCCAAATCATGGTCCACAAAAATACTTTTCTGATTGAATCACAGGGGGAAAAAAAGCAGTAAAAAATAAATAATTGATACATCTGATGAATAAAACAAGGCCATTCCTCAGTGTGATGATGGGGAGTTGGGGTGTAAATGAAAGCAACGAAGAAACTGATAATTAACACCAAAAAAAAACCCACACCCACCCCCAAAAGCAGAATTGCACCGGGCCAGGGTCAGCTTTAAATAGAATTTACCATCCCAAATATTACCAGGAAGAACATGGAACACTGAAATAGCACATGCCTGCAAAATACATTCTGGGAGCAACAGATGTCTGGAGGAAAAAAAAAAAAACAATGTACAAAAAAAGACAGTTGGTTCACCTTTGCTGCTGAAAGCGGCTCAAAAACTGAGGTGGAGGAGTTGAAAAGTGAGAAAATTGGTTATTAAAGCAGAGCAAGGATGGAAATTGAACCTTTATTTTAAATTGGCACATTTAAGCCTTTCTCTAATGGTGAATTTCGAAGGGTGCTGCTTTGTACAGACCCATCACCAGAAACACCTGGATTTTGGAGAGGGGTTTCCAAAGCCACGAAGGGCAGGAGGAAAAGCCTGGAATTCAGGCACTCACCCGCCTGGATCCCTTTGTTCAGCATCCGTGTCCGTCTCTTGGTGCTGAGGGCACAGCTGGGACCCCAAGAGGTGCTGCTGGCACAGGTGGAATCTGAGGAAAAGGTGATGGTGCTCTAAGGAAAACAAGAGGAAAGAGAGCAGAAATTCCTGAAATTCCCAGCAAAATGATCAGAAAGCGGGTTTTAAACAGCAAAAAAAGTGATGGTCGTAATTTTTTTTCCCTGGTTGTGGCCTGATCCTGTTGTTATTTAGGTGTTGTTATTTAGGGTCTCCTACTGCTGTGCCAGCCTTGGATTCATCCTCATTCATCCTCCAAGGCACTTCCAGCATCCCAACTTTTAGGGAAAAGCACGTTATTTGTGCGGGGAAGAGCCCACCTGGGATCAGATTCTGAGTGCTGAGATCCTCCAGCTCATATGGGATGTTCAGCCTGGAGAAGAGAAGGCTCCAGGGAAATCTTCCAGGGCCTGAAGGGGCTCCAGGAGAGCTGGAGAGGGACTGGGGACAAGGCATGGAGGGACAGGACACAGGGAATGGTTTCATAGTGGAAAAGGGGAGATTTAGACGGGATATTGGGAAGGAATTGCTGGCTGGGAGGGTGGGCAGGCCCTGGCTCAGGTTGGGCAGAGAAGCTGTGGCTGCCCCTGGATCCCTGGAAGTGTCCAAGGCCAGGTTGGAGCAACCTGGGCTGGTGGAAGGTGTCCCTGCCCATGGCAGGGGGTGGAACTGGATGATCTTTAAGGTCCCTTCCAAGCCAAACCATTCCAGGATTCCATGTCCAAAGTCAACAGGACAAGAGACGAACAAAACCCCTTTGCTGTGGCCAAATCACTTGCTGCACTTCCACAGAATATTCCTGCTTTGGAAAGAGGGGGAATAAACACCTGGATTGAATCCTGTATCCATGTCCTCTCCAACCAAAGGCCTTTCAAGACTGCCAGGTTTTCCAGAGGGACAAACTGCCTTGGAAGATCCAAGTGGAGGTCTGTAAATTCCCAATGAATCCCAGTTTTGGACCATTGGCACCAAACCCTTTCAAAACACGGGAAGTTCCACCACCCCAAGTTGTCCAGGTGGGGAAAATCAAACCCAATAAATCCCTGGAATGAGCAGGGCTGAGGTAAAATAGGGATTTCACACCTTCAAACACCAGGGAAAGCTGAGGGGGGAAACCAGCACAACACAGATAAAATAAATTAATTTTAAATATTAAAGCCATTTAAAAAGCAGGAATTTAAGGCCCAACCCTTTTGGTCTGTAAATCCTTTTTAATTATGGCACTGAATTTTTCCCCCACTTGATCCCATTCAGATCCTAGGAGTAATTCCTGATTCCATGGAAATGAGCAGAGACTTCTTTATCCCCTTTTTGTTGGAGTTTTGCTGTCAGCACTTCGATGCTAAACATCATTTTATTGCAATATTAAAAAGAGGCAAATTTTACTTTCATAAACCTGTTGGTTTTCTTTTTTAATTTCATAAATTTTTACTCCTACAAATCTGAGATTCTTTTAATTTCATGACTTTTATTCCTATTAAATTAGGGATTTTTAAAAATTTCATACATTTTTACTCCTATAAATCCAGGTGGGTTTTTTTATTTAATAACTTTTTATTCCTATTAAATTAGGGATTTTTAAAAATTTCATACATTTTTACTCCTATAAATCTAGGTGGTTTTTTTTATTTAATAAATTTTTACTCCTATAAACCCATTATTTTTTAATTCCATAACTTTTTACTCCAATAAACCTGTTTTTTTAACTTAATTTCATAAAATTTTATTCTTATTAAATCAGGGATTTTTTTAAAATTTCGTAAATTTTTACTCTTGTAAATCCAGGATTTTTTTAATTGCATAAATTTTTACTCCTGCAGATCTGGGATCTTTTTAATTTCATGAATTTTTACTGGTATTAAGTTGGGGATTTTTTAAAATCTCATTAATTTTTACTCTTATAAACCTTGATTTTTTTAAATTTCATAAATATTCACTCCTATTTAATTGCAGATTTTTTTAAATTTCATAAATATTTACTCCTATAAATCTGGGATTGTTTTTTAATGTCACCAATTTTTACTCCTATAAACCCATGGGGATTTTTTTAAATTCCCTAAATTTTTACTCCTATAAACCTGTTATTTTTTAAATTCCATAATGTTTTACTCCTATAACCCTGGGATTTTTTTTAATTTCATAAATTTCTACAGTGACAAACCTGGGATTTTTTTAAATTTCATTAATTTTTATTCCCATTAAATCGGTGCTTGTTTTAAATTTCATAAATTTCTACTCTTACAAATCTGTGATCTTTGTAATTTCATAAATTTTTACTCTCATAAACACAGATTTTTATAAAATCTCCTAAATTTTTCCTCCTATAAATCTGTGGGATTTTAAATTCCACAAAACAATCCCAGCTCTAGGAGAGGCACCGGCCACGTGCCTTGAATACACATTATTTCTTTTAAAAAATAAACCCCAAATCCAATATTTTCTCAGAATAAAAAAAAAAAGAAATTAAAAAAAAGGGAGACCAAAAAAATCCCAAATATCCCATTTCCCGCAGCCCTTAAATCCTGAATATTGCCACGAATATTCCCGCTGGGAGGAGAATATTCCATGATTTCAGCACAACCTTTAGCTCTGGACCTGCTACCAGATGGCAGATTCAGAGGGAACAGAAACTGGGAGAGAGAAAAACCTTCTGGGTTATAAATAAAAAAAAGCAAAGCTGACAATGAGCTGTCAAAAACCCAAAAAAACCCCAAAAAACTCAGCTCCAAAATGCAGCAATTCCCTGAAAAACTCCTGCAGGAATTTCTCTGGGAGCAGGGAAAGGTTCTCTGCCTCCAAAACACAAAGATTTGATGCTAAAAATATGAATAAAATTCGATTTTTTTTTTTCCTAGCCAAGCAGCAGAGAAGTGAAAAAATTTGAATTTTAAATTGAAGTTGCTGGGTTTCCATCTATTTTCTCTCCCTCCTTATTTTTTCTTATTTTTTCTTATATCTTCTCTCACTCCTGGGCCATGTGTGTCTTTATGGGGATTTTTTTAAACTAATTTTACATCAGAAGATTTAAAAAATCTGAGTTTCTAAAGCCTTGTAGGGGTCAATGCCTTTAATGAGTATTAATTCAATTTATTTCCTTCCAGGTGATTTTACCAGGAAAAAGATCAGATTTAGGTGTAAGGTCCAAACAGACCTTGAAATATTCATTTTATGAATGGAATGGGGAATGAAATAATAAAAAATAATTACAACCAGGCCAGAAATGTTGGATAATTTAATTGGTGGATGCTCAGTGTGAATGGTCTTAAGGTTGCAAATTTTAGGATATTTTTATTTTGCCTTTAAAGAAATGTCATTAAGTAAAAATAATAATTAAGGCAGTTTTATTTTACCTTTAGATAAATGTCATATAAATATTCATTCAAAGATTTTGAAACCATTTTTCACCTTGAAAAATTGTTTCTCTCCCAGGGTTTAAGTATTTGCATTATTTTTTATTTCTTTTCATTCCTAATTACTTTCAAATCATTTTCATCATTTACCACCCAGACTTTGAGCTTTTATTCTTATTTTATCTCCATAAAAATAGAATAAATAATTTCAATTCAAGCTACTAATAATGATGACAGAACCACTTTCTTCTGGTAACAGAAAAAAACACAAAGAAATATTTCCATATTTCTCATTTGTTCCTGAACTTTTTAGTATTAAAGGATATTATAGAACCCCAAAACTCCGTAATTTTTACACCAAATCCCTGTCAAATCCCTCTTTAAGGGTATTTTCCTTCCTCCTCCAAAGGGCAACAGCCAAATTCGATGAAGGAATTACTTTCTCTCCTTTAAAATTCCAGTTTTCACCTGGAATTCTCAGGTTTTAAATAAGTCTAAAACTAATTAAACTGAAGCAGTTTAGCACCAACACTCAGCCAGACCAAACAATCCCCAACATTCCAAATAATCCCCCCAAATTCCAAACAATTCCAGCGCTTAAACTGGACAAACAGCAGGAAAATTCCAATCATAACTGTATTTATCCTTGCCCAGAGATATTTAGGGAACAATATCCAGTCAAATCCACACCAGCAATCCCTGGGATTGCTAAACCAGGAAGCAGATCCAGGATCAGGAAGTGGATTATCGGGATGCAGATCCCAGGATCAGGAAGCAGATTCCCAAGATCAAAAAGCAGATTCCCAAGATCAAAAAGCAGATTCCCAAGATCAAAAAGCAGATCCAGGATCAAAAAGCAGATATCAGGATCAGGAAGCAGATCCAGGATCAAGAAGTAGATAGCAGAATCAGAAAGCAGATCCCAGGATCAGAAAGCAGATTCCCAGGATCAGAAAGCAGATTCCCAGGATCAGAAAGCAGATTACCAGGATCAGGAAGCAGATTACCAGGATCTTGCTTCCCATGGGAAATAAAGGAAGAGAGAAAAAAGCCAAGAAAAAGCAAGGGAAAACCCCCACAATTGGTGTTTTAAGATATTTTGCTTTTCCCGATTCCTGGAAAAGCAAAGACATTCGTTGGAGCTCCTCGGACGAGAAGCAGCTTCCCACATAAACAACACTCTCTGGGAATTTTGACACGATTCCCAAACAAACTCAGCCCAGGGTTTCAAAGCTCCTGTGAGGACGATTTAGAACCGACTTTCCCCGGGCCCATACCTGGATCTGCCTCCTCCTCCCGCTCCTCTCAGCTCCGACCTTCGGATATTCCGCGCCCGCCGCTTCGCCGCTTCCCTCGTCCCACTGTTCCGAGCGGCTCTTCTGGTGGCTGATGGTGGAGTAGAGCCGGGAAAGCCTCGGAGACAGCCGGACCCTGTGGTGGCCGAAGGCCCTGAGCAGCCTGGCGGTGTCGATGGTGGACAGGGAGCTGCTCCTCCCGCTCGTGGTGTCCGGCTCCGTGGCCGTGTCCCACTCGGAGGCGCTGGTGCCGTGCTCTCCGCTCAGCCTGGTCTCCCAGGAGTTGTCGCTGGGAGATTGCAGGGGGTGCTGCTCCCCAGGGATTTGGGTGCTGTGGTGAGTCGTTGTCTCTTCTCCCCGTTTCTCCCCGAGCTCCCCCAGGCTGGGGTTGTCCCGCGCTCTTTGCCCAACTCGCGTCGCCGTCGGCTCCGCGCCGCTCCCGGACGTGCTGTTCTCTCCCAATCCTGTTTTTGTCCGCTCCCTTCCCTCGGTTTTCCTTTCAGGAACGTTGCTCCCAGCTTTTGCTGGGATCAGGGTGTGTTGGATGGGGTTCTGCAGGACCCTGGCCAGCCGATCCAGGCGTTCCACCAGCGACAGCTCCCCGGTACTCCTCAAATCGTGGTGCTGGTGCCTCCTCTGCCTCTCCAGGAACTTCACCCAGAGCTCATCCAAGCTCCCACTGGAGTGGGTTCTCTGCCTTGGTTGTTTCTCCATGTTCTCCTCAAGGAGAGTTGTTTGGCTCCGTGGCAGAGGAGGATTCCCAGCTGCTCCTTGTTCTGCTTCTCTCCTGTGCTGACGTCGCTCCATCCCTGCTGTCTCATTCCCAACATCCTCATTTTTACTCTCATCTGCTTCTGCAGTGAGTGGAAAGAACTCCTTTTTCCCACTTTTCCTGTGACGGGCAGAGAACACCCGTTGATGCCGGTGTGGTTTTTTCCAGGCACCGCCGGAGGAAGGCGGAGCAATTCCCAGTCCGGAACTGTCCTCGGAGAACTCGCTGCTGTCACACGTGGGCATGGGGTGGTGGAGGTAGAACCGTGTGGATTTGAAGGTGGAATGAGTGGTTTTTACAGGTTTGGAATGATCTCTGTGCTCTGTAAAACAAACAAACAAACAAACAAAAAACCCCACTTGAATTCTTTGTTTCTTTGCAAAGAATCACATGGAAAACATCAAGTCCTAAATGGGATGATTTTCATCCTAAAACTTTCCAGTGGCTTCAAAGGATTAAAAGTAGGATCACTGAACCATTCCTGAAGTGCAATGAACTTGGAAATGAAGTTGCAGCATTATTAAAAGCACATAAATGATATTTTTTTATCATTTTCAACCAGGGGTAGAATATAGAGCAGAATGCAGAATATTCAACAAGAGAGTATTACATCCAAGAGGATCTGAAGGAGGAATCTCATCACACCTCAGGAAATTTCCCTGTCCAACATTTTAAATGGGTTTATTTAGAATCTAAATGGGTTTATGCAGAATCATGGAATGGGTTGGGTTGGAAGGGACCTTAAAGACCATCTTAATTCCAACCCCCTGCCATGGGCAGGGACATCTCCCACCAGCCCAGGTTGCTCCAACCTGGCCTTGGACACTTCCAGGGATCCAGGGGAAGCCACACCTTCTCTGGGAATCCATGGAGCACACATGGTATTATCCTCCAAAATAAAGACATTTTTAATACAATACAAAAAAAAAAAATCAAGTTTAAAACTGTGCTTTATGTTCGTTGTATAATGGAGTGAATTATAAAATCCCTTCCCTTCCAACAGAGCGTTGGGTGCAACGTCAAGATCGCGGCCAACGTCACCATTCCCAATCCCCCCAGCTCTGGAATTGCTGGAATTTGTTTTCCCATACAAGGTCAGTGTTTATGTACTTGTGTAAGAGCTTCTTCCCCCACATCCTCCTGACAAATGAGCTCAGGCTTGGGAATACCAGGCAGAATTCTGCTATTCCTGGACTTCTTCAAAAGTTCCCAACCCAATGGAAGGAATGTAAACAGGCAAAAAATAAAAAGAAGTTTATACTGAGAAACTTTATTTAAAAAAAAAACCAAAAAACAACACATAACTTGCATCATTTTAAGCTCTAGACAAGCTCTGTGGGTAGAGGTAATCTTTTATTAGACCATCTAAAAATATAGTTGGAGAAGTCAGGGAAGATTTAAGACATTCAAAGTCTTTTGAGGACCTGTTTTAAGTTCCAACTGCACTGGTTGGTTTAATTAAATGTTATTTCTCCTGACAGTTCTTTTCTTACCTGGGCTTTTAGACCATCAAATAATAAAAAATATAAAATTTTTTTTTAATAATTAAAATGTAGAAAATAACATTATTTCATTTTATAGGAGCACTTTTGTCCTCCTTTCATTTTTCTCCAGGTTATTGGTGCTGCAGCCTTACTGGAAATTTTCTGCTGCAAATAAAAATTATCCTTGGAAATACCAAAATCCCCCCATCGTGAAAAGGAAAAGAACTAAAAACCCCTCCCCGAAGAGAAGAATTAGAATGATCAAAGTCATTAAAGAATTCAAATCAAAATGCTGTGCCAGGCAATAAACAGCTTCCCTGAGGAATTAAAGAGCTGCTTCGAGGAATCACTCAGCAATTCTCTGTCCAGGAATAAAAATCCTCATCCCTGCTCAGATTCCAGGAATTTTATCAGCCGCTCAAAAACGAGGTTTAGGACAAAAAGAGTGTCCAGGAGGACTAATTTTAGCTGTTGTCATGAGATAAATGTGTCCAACCCACCAGTCAGCTCAGCCTAATTTCATTTTGCCAGCATTCCCAACAAATAAAGTGGTCACTACGGGGGAAAATCCTGACCTTCATCCCTCGGGAATATCATGCAACAGGGAAGGATGGAAGGATGGAAGAGAGAGCAGCAAACCCAGTTAAAATTCAGGCAAACACCAACGTGACAGAGATTGTTGACGTGACATCACAAGGCATCAGATGTTTGTGGGCAGGAGCACAACCCCCATCCCAACACCAAGTCATCATCCCTCTCTTTGTTTACCAGGGAATTCCTGGCATTTTCTACACAGGCTCCAGTAAGCCCTGGAGACACTGGAATGCTGACAAATACCGATGGCCAAGTATTTCATGGAATTATGGGATGGGTTGGGTTGGAAGGGACCTTAAAGTTCCATCCAGTTCCACCTCCCACTAGCCCAGGTTGCTCCAACCTGGCCTTGGACACTTCCAGGGATGGAAAGTCCACAATCCCTCTGAGCAACCTGTATTTTGGGAATCAGGGGGAAGCAGAAAAATGAGGAAGAGAAACCATCTTGTGGATGAAAAGCAGATGTGGAATTCAACCCACACTTCATAAAGTACCTGCAGAATCTTCCAGGGGGATCCTTTGCTCCTCAGCCCAGGCCAGCTTAGGCTTGGCCCTCTTACTGTGGTATCCTTCTTTTTGCTGGAGAGCTGCACTTCCTGGAGGATTCTCATCCCTCAGACCAGGCAAGTGGGGCACAAACCTTGGAGGAGGAGGAGCATCATTTGACCCTGCAGAGAAAGAGCAAAAATGATGAGGGAAAAACAGGAAGCTGGACAAACAGAGACAGAAATTCCACAACTAACCAACGATCCTGATCCCTGGAAGTGTCCAAGGCCAGGCTGCAGCAACCTGGGCTAGTGAAGTGTCTCTACCCATGGCAGGGGGGGAACTAGGTGATCTTTAAGGTCCCTTCCAACCCAAACCATTCCATGATTCCATGATTTTATCACTGTCTCATAATGTTAGAAACCTCAAACTGCCCTCCCCTGGCTCCTCATCCTTGTCAATCCCAGCAGGTGGGATTTACTCCCCTCAATTCCTCCAGCTCCCAAGCTGAGAGCCCTGAGTGCAGCAGGGAGGTGGAAAAAACAAGCTTTATTTTTTTAATCCTGCCCTTCACTTTCCCAGAACCTTCCACGGCTTCATTTGCATGTGGCATTTTTATATCTGGCATCGTCATTTGTGCAAAACAACAGATTTGCATCGCATTTGTTTCTCTCCTTTTGGACGTGTTTCACCAGATAAACTTGAAAAAAGATGAAGAGCAGAGACACCTTTAACCATCCCAATCCCAATTTGTGGCTGGAATGTTGGCTCAACCTACTGCCTCGGCCTCCAGCTGTCAGGAATCCAGGAACTGGACATCTCCGAGATTAACTCTGAATATTATCTGGATCGAGTAACTTTGAGTGTTTAAAAAGCTCTGAGTGAAAACAACCTGCAAATAAAAGCTGCAATGCCCAAGTGATCCGTCCTTCACAGGAGAACTGGCAGGGATAGGGAGGAATCCAAACTGAGCAGGAATTCCCAGGGGGAAATAAAGAATTATCGAGTTAAAATATTAAGCTTTGTGGTTTTTTTTTTTCCACTGCCAGGATGGAGCAATAACAACCCTTTCATCCAAGGGATGGGAATCAAAGCAGTCAGGAATTGTGCCCTTTGGGGTTATATCCATGGGTTACAGACACATTTTGCACCTGGAAAATCCAAGAGAAATAAGTACCTGAGTGAGAGCTCCCACCACTGGTTTCTGACTCAACTGGAGACATTTTGGCTCCTCCTTTTAGGAAGGGAACATAATACATCCCAGTGCTTCCAGAAGGTTTGTATGGCACCAGTAAAGGCTGAGCTGGGGGGAGAAATCACAACTATTATTTGATTTAATTATCTAATTAATCGAATTATTTACTACCCACCCACAGGTAGGTAGGTTGGTCATCACTAACCTCGAAAAAAACCAGCTTTCTTACCTGCTCAGTATTAAATTTGTGACTTAAAAAAATAATCTCCTGTACCCACACAGCTCCCAGCTGATCCATGTTTAAAGAAATAAATTTAAAGGAGCATAGATTTGGCTCTCAAGTCAATAAAACCAATTTGATGATCTAACAGAGACCCAACAAGAAACATCACTGGTGTGGAAAACCACTGAGCAACGTCCCTCTGTCCACAGGGATTAAAAACCCTGCATGTTTTTCTATTTTATTCATTTTTTATTAAAATTACTCTAATTGTTCTATTATTTTTCTATTTTTTATTAAAAGCAGGACTGTGCAGATTTTCCTCTTTATTTTTTTGTATTATCTTGACTAGAGAGTAAACCAGTAATTCGATTTCTCTCTTGATAAACTCCAAGCAGTGATTCAAATCAAATTATCTCCACACAAATGTCAGAGAATTTAATCACCACATCAGATTTAATTAAAAAATTGAAGTTACAGGACACACCAAACTCAGTTCTAGATAAACCTGATCTGAATCACAACTTTATCCATATAAATCCCTTCCCACAAGACTGAAAACCCCAAGTTTAAGGATTGGGTTTTTTCCCCCTGTATGAGCAACTTTATATATTCAGAATTACTCAAAAACGTTACTTCCAGCAAAAAAATGCCTTTATTTTTGGTTTTTAATGCTTAAAAATGTCTTGAATTTGAGTAGATTAAGCTATATATATATAAAAGACGAGAATTTGCTCACCAGGCTGCCTTGGGAAGGGGGAAATCTCGAAATGGGATGAAGTTGTAACGTTGGGAAGTTCAGGGGGTTTCTGGGCAGCACCTTCATCCTCCTGGGAATGAACGTGAATTTCTGCGGAAAAGGTGGTTTTTCCAGGACCTTCTGTGGTGATCTGAGTGGCAGCCTCCGAAGTCCTTCTCCCAGGTTTTGCAGGAAGCACAGAGCTGGAGATATTCCTGGGAACAAACCCCCCTGATCCCAGAGCAGGGACTCGGGGTCTCTCTGGGCTTTGCCGCCCGGCTCTCGCCCGGAGGAGAACACCCGGCTGGGATCTGCTGGAGACACTGGGAAAGGTGATCTTGGACCTTCTGGAACGAGGCCAGCAGGTGGTAATTCGGGAGCAGCTTCTCTTGAATCTTCAGGAGCTTTCAAAGGCACCGGTTGAGTCTTGGTTTCGGGTTTATCCCCGGTTTCATCCCGCTTTCCACGTTCCCGTCCCTGCGCAGCTCCACGCGATGAACCTTGGAGGAGAGGGTGATGTGGACACAGGACAGGAATTTCTTGGCTGGTGAGGAGGGAGCTGCAGACGTGGTGGGTAAAAGCTCCTCTGGGGGTGAAGGGTGGGATGGCTCCACTTGCTCCCTCCCAGCCTCTGTTGCTGGAACGAGAGGTGGCTCATCAGCGTTTTCCCTCTCTTCTCCCAGCTCACCACGACCCTGGAGCAAATCCACTTGTTCTGCTGGATCGGAACCTTCCAAGTTCTCGCTGAGCTGGATGTGGCCAGAGCTGTTCTTCTCCTGCTGGGAAGAGCTCAGGGAATGGGGTTCAGTGAATGGATTTCTCTCCTGACTGAAGGCCATGTCCAGCCCCCCAGCTCTGCCGCTCTGCCTGCCCAACTCACCCCCATTCTGGGCCAAAAAATCACATTTTTCTGCACTGGGGGTCTGCCTTTTCCCAGCATGGATGCTCCCGGAATCCTGAGCTGACAAAGAGTCTGTGTCCTGATAAACTCCAGCTCTGTCCCTTTCAGTAGAGGTGGGATGGAACCTGCCCTGATCTGCATGATTAATCTCCTGGAACACGGATCCAGCCAGCACTGGACTGGCAGGACAAGTCCTGGATCCTTCCCAGTGTTCTCTGTCATGGCTCTGTTCCCCACTGGCAGCAGAGTCGACATCCACAGGCACGATCCCATCAAACCCATCCCTGGAGAGGCTGTTGCCCAGTGTCCCCAGTGGGGACTGGAGGTGTTTCCAGGATGAGGTGGTGATGGAAGTGATTGGCTTTCCCATCTCTTCCAAGCTCTTCTCCACAGGCAGCACCTTCGGAGCTGGCACGAGGAATTCTGTCCGTACATCAGAGCCCGTTGCACAGGGATCCCACTCCAGTGGTGGGTAAAGCTCAGCCATGGTGTGGGAATGGTCTGTGGCAGCTGGTGGGTATTGGCTGCACACAGCCATTCCAGCAGCAGCATTCCAGGATTTCAGCTGCATGTCCCTCAGCTGGAAGCTGTCAGAGGGATGGGATTTATGGAACAGCACAGCCTGTCCTGAGCTGGCCTCTGAAAGTTCCTGAGTCCTGATGGGCTGGGGGTGTCTGACAGTTGGGAATCTTGGAGTTTTGAAACTCCCTGTGTCCTGTTCCTGCTTATGGAGACACTCAGAGGCAGCTCCCAAACCACAGACCCAGGGATCCTGAAAAACAGAGACCAAGGTCACAGAGGTCGGGTGGAAAACTTCCCACCCTCACCAAAATCTGGATGGGAGAATTCAGAGTGAGAGGAGGGCTGTCAATAATGCAGTCTGCCATCAGGAAGGGATGGAATTAACCTGTGGAGGGACCAATCAAAAATTTATCATCATTTCTCCTGCTGCCCACGCTGGGGGATCAGCCTGGGACAAGAGGGGTTTTTTGGGATTGCAGCACATGTGGAGCTTCCCTAAGTTCTGAAACCCATGTGGAGGGATCAGCAGGGAGGGATGGACAGCACTTTTGCTTCCAAGCCTTTCCTAATTCCAACAGAAGCTGCCAAGTGCTGGCAGTGGATCCCTGCAGCACCTCACCTGCCCACTGTGAGGGGATGAAGTTTGGAAGAGAAGAAATGCAAATATCTGCAGATTAAAGACCCCACTCCAAACAAGGGAATAAAAAACCACACCCCAGACATGCAGAACTCCTGCCATTCTCAGAGCACAACGAGAAAAACTGGGAGCAAGTGTGGGAAAACCTGAAGTTACCACTGACAGCAATTTATTACTGTCAGTGTTGATCCAAAACCCACAACTGGTGTTGCCCTGGAGCAAATTCTGGGAATGACCCACCTGGGTTGAGCTTCCCCTCACTTGGACACGCACTAATTAAACAGGTATCCCAGTTATTCCCACCCCTGACACAAAATTCCACCCGAAATCCTGCACACTCCATGCCAGAAAGCACGAGGGAACCTCTTAAGTGGCCTCAACTTCCACCAGAGAAGGTTTAGATTGGATATTCCGAAACATTTCTTCATGGAAAAGGTTACCAAGCCCTGGAACAGGGATGTGGTGGAGTTCCCATCCCTGGAAGTGTTCAAAGGACCACGTGGATGTGGCACTTGTTGACATGGTTTAATGGTGAACACGGAGGTGCTGGTTGATGGTTGGACTTGATGACCTTAAAGATCTCTTCCAACCTCAAGGATTCCAGGATTTTAAGCACAATTTTATCAATTATCACACAATTTTATCAATTATCAAATGCCTTTAGAAATTCCAGCTCTTCCATTGAGGTGCAAACCTGAGACAAACGTACTGCCATGGAGATGGGCCAGATAAGCTAATTTTTTAACAAAAAAATAGCAACAAATTTAGGCTTTATTTATTTTTCCTAGAGATTGGAACAACTGTGGAAGCAGCAAGAGTGCATTCCATCAACAACACAGCTCCCCTGGATGGTTTTACCCTCATCAGCTAGTTGGGATCTGGCAATACAAAAATCAGCCAAACAAGAATTTCACTACAGGATTTTCCAGCCTTCCCCACATCCCAGATGCCATTCCAGCTGTGAACTATTCCAGCTGGATCGTTATTCCACGTTTTGGTGCCCTTAATCTCTTTTAAACCCGTCAATCAGTTGATTTGGATGCCTGCATCTCCAGGATGGACAAGAAGGGCTCGTGGAAGAATGGGAAGGACATGGAAGCAGAGCTGTTTTTCCAAGCCCAGGGGATGATCCCAAGACATCCCTTCCCTAAAACCACGTGCCGGTTCAACGGCCTGAAGTAACACGGAGCAACTCCCACAGCCCAAAGCGAGCACAGAAGTTGCTCTCAACTCATCTCCCCAAGCCTTTCACATGTTTTGTTGTGCCTGTGATGTGTCATCCTTCCAAAAATGAGCCGGGTGCCATATGATCCACGGGAGTTGTGCAGTGCAAATTTAGAGCTACAACTCCTTGAACTTCCTGAAGAAGCGAGAAAGCACAAGGAGTGGAAAAATACAGCAAGGGAGTGGAAGAGAACAGGGGGAGAAGAGGGAAGGATCTTGGGAAAGGCAACTGGGGGGCACTGGGCACCCGGGAAATACAGGTGGGGTGACAGGGGACTTAATTTAGGAGGGAGATTCAGAGGTTTAATTCAGAGGTTTAATCCTTAGCACATCAAAACCCACGGGCAGGGACACCTTCCACCAGCCCAGGGTGCTCCAGCCTGGCCTTGGACACTTCCAGGGATCCAGGGGCAGCCACAGCTTCTCTGCCCAACCTGGGCCAGGGCCTGCCCACCCTCACAGCATCCAATCCACAGGAATGCCTTGGCACCCTCTCTCTCCATCACCAACAGGTTTATAGTTTTAGTTTCCCAGGACCCATCTCTGGACAATCCCAAAGCACTTGCAGTCAATAAATCCACAGCCTTGGGCTCCTTTTCCTCCTAAAGAAGCCCAAGGCACTTCCTCTTTCCATGGATGGTCAATTCCCATCTGCAGGAGGAGTCAGCAGGAAATTCAGGATAAAACCTCTGTGTCAAGAGCTCCATGTTTGCCATTTGCTCCCAAGCATTTCTGCCAAGAATTAGTTATTAGAAGAGAGTAAGAGCATGAGCAGAGTATTTCATGGAATCATGGAATGGTTTGGGTTGGAAAGGACCCTAAAGCCTATCCAGTTCCCCACCAGGGACACTTTCCACTCTTATCCCAGGTTGCTCCAACTTGGCCACGGACAGTTCCAGGGATCCAGGGGCAGCCACAGTTTCTCTGGGAAATTCATTCCAGGGCCTCCCCACCCTCCCAGCCAGCAATTCCTTCCCAATATCCCATCTATCCCTGCCTTCTCAAACCATTCCCTGTGTGCTGTCCCTCCATGCCTTGTCCCCAGTCCCTCTCCAGCTCTCCTGGAGCCCCTTTAGGCCCTGCCAGGGGCTCTCAGGTCTCCCTGGAGCCTTCTCTTCTCCAGGGGAACCCCCCCAGCTCTCCCAGCCTGTTCATACTGAACTCTCCATGTTTTTCGAGCCACTTGAGGACACATTTACAGCTCCTTTCCCTGCACATGTCCCTGAAAATTCCGCTGTCATGGATTCCTCGAGCTGTCCCCCATAAAAACCAGAGTTTACACTTTCCCAAAGAACATCCAGCACCTTTAAATACCGATTTTAATCCGCTGAAGGAACTGTTTGTTTGAGTGCTGGGAACAGTTTGTTTCTCTCAGTCTTAAAAAAGTTTAGCAGAAGGAAAATATCTTGTTGTAATCTTTGGGTTTTTTTAGGTCCACGCAGCAGTTTGGCTCCAGAAATCCAACAGGTATTTTAAACACCACTTGTCACATAATTTAAAAGAGATTTTCCTACTCTCAGTTAGAATAAAACAGTTCCCAGCTGACACTGAGTCACATCCAGGGAAATATTTGACTGCAGTAAGTTCATTTTAGGGCCAAAATGGGGATCAAATAAAAGATGAAAGTGGGGGGGAGGGGGAAGTAGTTTCAAGTCTCCAGTTTTGGTTTTGTGGTTTGGTTTTCCTCTTTAGGAAAGGTGGATTTAAGGGAATGTGGATTTTGTAGGAAATGTGAATTTTTAGAAAGGTGAATTTTTAGAAAGGTGAATTTTTTAAGAAAGGTGAATTTTTTCAGAAAGGTGAATTTTCAGAAAGGTGAATTTTTCAGAAAGGTGAATTTTTAGAAAGGTGAATTTTCAGAAAGGTGAATTTTTAGAAAGGTGAATTTTTTCAGAAAGGTGAATTTTTTAAGAAAGGTGAATTTTTAGAAAGGTGAATTTTTAAGAAAGGTGAATTTTTTAAGAAAGGTGAATTTTAGGAAATGTGAATTTTATAAAAAATGCAAATTTTATAAGAAATGTGAATTTTATAAGAAATGTGAATTTTATAAGAAATGTGAATTTTATAAGAAATGTGAATTATAAGACATGTGAATTTTTAAGAAAGATGAATTTTAAGAAAGGTGAATTTTTTAAGAAAGGTGAATTTTAAGAAAGGTGAATTTTAAGAAAGGTGAATTTTTTAAGAAAGATGAATTTTAAGAAAGGTGAATTTTTTAAGAAAGGTGAATTTTTTAAGAAAGGTGAATTTTAAGAAAGGTGAATTTTATAAGAAAGGTGAATTTTATAAGAAAGGTGAATTTTATAAGAAAGGTGAATTTTTTAAGAAATGTGAATTTTAAGAAATGTGAATTTTATAAGAAATGTGAATTTTATAAGAAATGTGAACTTTAAGAAAGGTGAACTTTAAGAAAGGAGAATTTTTTAAGAAAGGTGAATTTTAGGAAATGAGAATTTTATAAGAAATGTGAATTTTTTAGGAAAGGTGAATTTCAGGAAATGAGAATTTTTTAATAAATTTGAGTTTCAGGAAAAGTGAATTTTTTTAGGAAAGGTGAATTTTTTAGAAAAGGTGGATTTTTTCAGGAAAGGTGGATTTTTTCAGGAAAGGTGGATTTTTTAGGAAAGAAGGTGAATTTTAAGAAAGGTGAATTTTTTAAGAAAGGTGAATTTCTAAAAATAAATAAAATACTCATTTTTTCCCCCCAGATTCCCAGACAAAGATTCCATCAATACATGGAATAACCTGGGAATTTTGATCTGTTGTCTCACTTACCAACACAGTTGATGCCAAAGAATTATAAACACAGACACAGAGTACTCTTAAAACACTGATTTTCACTCTTACTAATGCAAGGCTTTTAATTAAAACAAACAATCCAACCCCTGCTGCTTCTCCTGGCAGTGAACAGGGAAAAGGGGAAGGGAAAAAAGAAAGGGGGAAAAAAAGAAAGGGGGGAAAAAGAGAAAGGGAAAAAAAAGAAAGGGAAAAAAAGAAAGGGAAAAAAAAGAAAGGGAGAAAAAAAAAAAGGGGAAAAAAAAAGAAAAGGGAAAAAAAAAAAAGAAAGGGGAAAAAAAGAAAGGAAAAAAAAAGAAGGAAAAAAAAAAAGAAAGGGGAAAAAAAAAAAAGAAAGAGGGGAAAAAAAAGAAAGGAAAAAAAAGAAAGGGAAAAAAAAAGAAAGGCAGAAAAAGAAAGGGGGAGAAAGAAAAAGAAAGGGAAAGAAAGGGGGAAAAGAAGGGGAAAGAAAGGGAAAAAGAAAGGGGGAAAAGAAAGGGGGAAAAGAAAGGGAAAAGAAAGGAGGAGGAAAAAGAAAGGGGGAAAGAAAGGGGGGGGAAAGAAAGGGGAAAGAAGGGGGGAAAGAAAGGGGGGAAAAGAAAGGGGGGAAAAGGAAAGAAAGAAAGGGAAAAGAAAGGAAAGAAAAGAAAGAGGAAAGAAAGGGGGGAAAAAAGGAAGAAAAAGAAAGAGAAAGAAAGGGAAAAAGAAAGAAGGAAAAAAGAAAGAAAGGGGGGAAAAAGAAAGAAAAGGGAAAAAAGAAAGAAAGGGGGGAAAAAAGAGAAAGAAAGGGGGGAAAATAGAAAGGGCAGGGGGGAAAATAGAAAGGGCAGGGGGGGTAAAGAAAAGGGGGGGGAAAAGAAAGGAGTCTCTTCCTAAAGCTCAGGACACTTGTCTGAAACACCAGTCCCTGGAAATCCTGGGATTTCCATAATCCCACTGGACAATGCCAAAAACGGGTATTTAAAGGGGAAAAAAAGGTAAAATACACCTGGTTAGAAAAATTCCAATCTGTGGATATTTATGTTAATATGTGGACTAGAAATGTTCCAAAGGAGATACACAAAACATGGCAATTCCAAGCCAGGTCTTCCCAGGAAAATAGAGCTGCAAGAGGCTGAAAGCTCAGCCTGCCCTGCCCCAAATCAGCATCAACACTTGGATTATCCTACAGATACTTCCCAAGCTTTTCAGAACATCCAGTGATCACCATTCCAGAATTTTCCTTACCTTGAAGGAGTCTGGATTCTAACAGGAACTGGAAAAGCCCCTTTCCCCTCTGACCAACACAAGGCAGGAATAATTCACTGCCTCCTTCCCTGAAGATCCTTTGAAAAACAAGGATCTCACGGGAATGACACAACAAAAACTCCCATTGCCCAGAGGATATTCCATTGTCCACTGAGCTCCTTCCATGGAGGAGTTTCCAAGGCACAATCAGCACCTGCACAAATATTTTGGGAAAAGAGTTCCTCAAGCCAATCAAGGACCAGAATCTGCAGGAACTTTCTCACAATAACTCCCATTTTCCCAACACATCTGTGTCCTCCAGACCTTCCCATGGAACATCCTCAGCTCTGTGTCCCCTCCCCACATCCCAAACAGCTCCTCCCTCGAGATTCCAACTCCTATTTGGGGAAAACAATTTAAAAAAACCAAAAAAGAACCCCACAAGAACATGTGGAAAAGCATTTCCCCCCTTCCTGAGCTGGTTTGTACCTTGGCCTGGATGGATTTCTTGGCCCTCAGGAGCAGCTCTGCCTTGATTTCCTCGATTCTTTGCTGGGTCTCCTCATCCCAGTCTGGCACAGATTCCTGGGATCTGCTGGCCAGTTTCAGCTTCACCCAGGCTGTCAAAAAAAAAAACACCACAAAAATTCAGGAAGAGTTTTCCTTTTCCCATCTTGTGGAATGAAAATAGTTTGATAACTTAGAATCAAAGCTGGGCATTTCTAATTACCACAACTTTAGGGAACAAAGCCCACTGTGGAATTCCAGAAGCCCACTGTGGACTGATCAGGAATACAGTGTAAATGTATTTGTAAATGCAATGTAAATGACCAGGAATACAATGGGATTTTGGAACATTTCTTTGGAGATCCAGGACCTTTCTCCTGGTTCCATCATCCCTGTAGGCTCAGACATAAACCAAAACTCACTCACACCATCCCTTCCTGAATTCTTGACCTAATAAACGATGTGGATAAAATATCAGTGTCAGGCAAAGGGTCTTCCAAGTGGAAAAGCCCAATTCTATCCCATTTTACGTAGGAGTACTAAAAAATACCCACCATTTAAGCCCTGTCCTATTAAAGTTTCTTATATTATAATATGATATAATCACCTTTAAAATCAGGGCCACAGACACAGATCCTCTCACATCCACACCAAAGCAACCCCTCAAACACGAACCTAAATAAAGATTTGGTATTTTAATAATAAAACACAATAATAAAACACGACAGGGATGCTTTCTTACCCCGGATTTTCCTCTCCTGCTCCTCGGCGTTCCTGAGGATTTGGGCTGCCTCTCTCCCAGGGGATCCGCTCCTCAGGAGGTTCCTGACACGGGCAGCCAGGGAATCCCCGCTGCTGCTGCTGCCACTGCCCCCCAGCCCCGCTCCCTTCATCCTGGCACCACCAGCTCCACTCAGGAATCCTCCTGTGCCAGAGGTGCCACTCCCTGGATCCCCCAGGAGGTTCCTGACTCGGACAGCCAGGGAATCTCCGCTGCTGCTGTCGTCGCTCCCGCCGGCGCCTCCTGCTTTGCTTCCGGCTCCATTGGATCGGGACGTGCTCAGGAAGGCTCCTGGGATATCAGTGCTGCTTCCAGGGGGCTCTGAGGAAGGAGGATTCCCTGGTTCCGAGGTTGTGGCAGCGCTGCCCTGGCTGCTGGGGCTGCTCCGTGCCGGGCCCACCCGGGCGCGTTGGTTTCTGTCGGTGGTGACGCTGCTGCAACCCTCCGGCTCCGACCTTCCCGCAGATTTTCCTGCCCTGAACTCCTGGCATACTTCCTTCACTCCTTCACCCCGGTGTGAGTCGACCTGCAGAGCGTTCTCCCACCTCAAGTTACACGTGTCGGAATTCCAAGGGTTTATTCCCAACCCTTCTTCTCGCGCGCTTTGCCGGGTGGCAGCCTCGTCCCACGACAGTCTCTTCTGGGATTGAGGGGTTCTGTCCTGCACCAACCTGGGATCTCTGGGATCATCCTCCCGCCTCATCAGCGCCAGGGAAGACTCCCTGCTTTCCCTACGAGAGGCCATGGAAAAGGCAGGATGACCCCACCTGGCACTCAAATCCTCTGCCTCTGCCAGGAGCTCCCGGATGTCCCTCAGCACACCCGATCCCAGCCAAGAATCCCTGCCTTGCTCCTTGTTTCTCTCACTTCCCACCCTGGAGCTCTGGGATCCTCTGTCAGCTTCCATCCCGTTTTTAACTCCAGCCAAAACACCAGCAGCCCAACTCTGCAGGCTGCTGTCCAAAATTCTGGACTCGTTTTTAGCAAGATCCCGAACGCTGCTCGGAACAAGGAGGGGACTCTGCGTGTCGGAAGAGACAAGTTTGGAGACAGCAGGACACTCTGGATCCTGTGTGGAAATCGGAGCATCCCTCTGCAGCTGCTGGCATGGCACACTGCACTGGCTCCCTGGGCTGTCTCCAAAAACCCTTGGGAAGCTGGGAGAGAGCTCCTGGGGTGACAGAACATCAGAGCCAACCTCGGACTCCACGGGAATGGAAATGCTGAGAGCGGAAGTGTCGGAGTCGAAACCCGTCGGCACCACCTCAAATGCTGGCAACAATTTACCTACAAAGACACAGGACAGTCATTAATTAATTCACTGCATCAGCAAAGACTAATTTATCTTGTACTAAAGGGTTTGTAAAGAGAGAGGGAAGAATTCGAATATTGGAATACACAGGAAGAAAAAGTCTGGTCACGGTTGCTTAATCTCCAGATAGGAAGCATTTCCTCCTCAAAAAACCTCCTGGAAAAAGGGAAATAAAGGGGGAAAAGGGAAATAATAAAGAGGGAGAGAGGAAATGATAAAGGGGAGAGGGAAATGATAAAGGGACAAAGAGAAATAATGGGGAAAAGGGAAATAAAGGGGTAAAGAAGATCCAGTGTCGCTGCACTGGCCCATGGCCATAATTCTTCAGGGAGGAGGCAGGTTTTCCAAGGTTTTAGTACTTTTCCAATGCCAAACACCTCACATTTGACAGAGGGGAAGATCAACTCACACGAATGGAAGAGAAAAAACACACTTAACACCACCAGGCCAAGAGCAGCTTCCCAGGTGAGTGAATTCCTGTGTTCCCCAAGGTGCTCCTTTCCCATACCTTGTGCCTTTGGAGGGATCCTGGCCAGGGTGTCCAGGGAGCCTTTGACTGTCCTGAGCTCTGACGGGGAAAACTCAACTTCCCTGATGGGTCCTCGGGGTAGAAACGGAGCCAAAATGGTCCCAGGGGACTGGTCAATGCCAAGGTTCCGGAGATATATCTGGCAAAAGAAGGAGTAAGAAACACTTGGAGAATGGCAACGGGCTCTGGAGTTGGAGAAGTTTTTATTCCAGTGCTCTGGATGCTGCAGGAGTTGGATAACTTGGAGCAGGTTGGTGAACTTCACCCTCACCCGTTTAAAAGGATATTTCCCAGCTGGAAGGAGAACACAAAGGTTTGGGTTCAAAACCTGCTTCCTCCCCCAACAGCTGGTGCACAGAAAACTTTATTAGATTGGAAATTCGAGGCAGGGAAGGGCCTCTTTTTAGAGGATAAGTTTGGGAACACTTTGGTCAGAGCTGGTTGAAAACCATCATGAACCAACTTTTGTGGTGGTGCTGAGGGGAACCAGAGAGTCAGGGAATGGTTTGGGTTGGGAGGGACATTAAAAACCATCCAGTGCCACCCCCTGCCATGGGCAGGGACACCTTCCACCAGCCCAGGTTGTTCTAACCTGCCCTTGGACACTTCCAGGGATCCAGGGGCAGCCACAGCTTCTCTGCCCAACCTGGGCCAGGGCCTGCCCACCCTCTCAGCCAGCAATTCCTTCCCAATATCCCATCTCTCCCTGCCCTCTGGCAGTGGGAAGCCATTCCCTGTGTCCTGTCCCTCCAGCCCTTGTCCAAAGTCCCTCTCCATGTTTCCTGTTGGCTCCTTCAGGTCCTGGAAAGCCACAATCAGCTAATCCCAAATCCTGCTCTTCTCCAGGCTGCACCATCCCAACTCTCCGCTTTTCCTCCCAGGAGCTGCTCCATCCCTCAATCCATCCCTCTGATCAACTTGTCCTGGCCAAGGGGCAGAAAATCACCTTCTGCTGTGCAAGAACAACTTCATTAAAATTAAATTGATTCGTTTATAGAGAAGCCAAAGGAAAATTGTCCTCAAAGTCTAAAACTGTGATATACCAGAGAAAATGTTTGTGAGGACAAGCCCAACTTTCCCTGGAAAACACCAGGAGATTGTCAGTTCAGACACACACAGCAGCATCCCTGAATTAATGGATTTTGAAGGAGTCTCATGGAGTTTAAGAACCTACCAAAGGTCGTTTAGAACCTTCTGAGGAAGCAATTTTTCTAAGTTTACATACAGGTATCCTCTGCATTAAAAAAAGAACCCACATTTTTCCTTGATTTAATCCCCTGCAGAAGCAAATTCATTTCAACTCATCCATCCCATGTCCTAAACATGCCAAGAAAAATGAAATTAATTATTTTATGGATCGTGGCCAACTCTATTTCCTCTGATTTTATTATAAACCTACATATTAACAGCCACAAAAGTGACCTAATCTCCTTTACCTTGTCAGTGATTTATGGGAGCAGAATCCCTCACAAACAGGGCTCAAAACCAGGCCTAATTATAATCACTAATATAAATCACCTTCATGTCTCCTGAGTTTGGTTTAAAACACCATCCCTGCAATATTTATATTTGTTTCAACACTTCTTTGCAAAGAAAAAAGAGTGAAAAAAACCCCAAACCTTTTGAAACCCAGCCCCAAAGCCCTGGTTTATTTATGGGAATCATCCTGTGAGAGGAGCAGCCTCTCCCTCAGGGGGTGATGACACGTTTCTCATTAGCATAAATCTGCATCTCATTTTCCCCACCCCTCCAGAGCCATCAGCAGAGTTAACAGGGCTGCTCCTCCATCCTCTCCCACCTTCCCAAAACAGGGAAGAAATCTGGATGAGGGAAGGCATGAAGTGGCTCTGAATGCCTCTTGTGAGCAACGTGGAAAGAATGAAATGAAAGAGTTTGGGCCTTGGAAGGCGGAACAAAAGTGAACAAGCAAAAATGGGTATTTATAGCAAATGAAAAGAGATTTCATTTCCAAGGATTTCTGGGGTGGGTTTGCTATTCCTGCAGAGCTGTGGGGGTGTGGAGTTCAGTTCTCCTGCCTTTCCTTACTCAGCACTCGAGTCTCAGCCTCCTGTTTTGGATAATTATAACCTGAGCTCCTGAAAGGAGCTGGGAGATCAGGAATGGCACAGCAGGGATCTGCTGGAAGAGCTACAACCAAATTATTCACAAGATTTCACTTTTTATCACTATCAGGGAATCATGGAAAATGGTTTGGGTTGGAAGGGACCTTAAAGATCATCTCATTCCAACCCCGTGCCATGGACAGGGACACTTTTCACTATCCCAGGTTGTTCCAACCTGGCCTTGGACAATTCCAAGGATCCAGGGGCAGCCACAGCTTCTCTGCCCAATCTGTGCCAGGGCCTCCCTACCCTCACAGCCAGCAATTCCTTCCCAATATCCCATCTCTCTTGCCTTCTGGCACTATGAAGTCATTCCCTGTGTCCTGTCCCTCCAGCCCTTGTCCAAAGTCCCTCTCCATGTTTCCTGTTGGCTCCTTCAGGTCCTGGAAAGCCACAATCAGCTAATCCCAAATCCTGCTCTTCTCCAGGCTGCACCATCCCAACTCTCCCAGCTTTTCCTCCCAGGAGCTGCTCCATCCCTCTGATCAACTTGTCCTGGCCAAGGGGCAGAAAATCACCTTCTGCTGTGCAAGAATAACTTCATTAAAATTAAATTGATTCGTTTATAGAGAAGCCAAAGGAAAATCATCCTCAAACTCTAAAACTGTGATATACCAGAGAAAATTTTTGAGAGGACAAGCCCAACTTTCCCTGGAAAACACCAGGAGATTGTCAGTTCAGACACACACAGCAGCATCCCTGAATTAATGGATTTTGAAGGAGTCTCATGGAGTTTAAGAACCTACCAAAGGTCGTTTAGAACCTTCTGAGGAAGCAATTTTTCTAAGTTTACATACAGGTATCATCTGCATTAAAAAAAGAAACCAAATTTTTCCTTCATTTAATCCCCTGCAGAAGCAAATTCATTTCAACTCATCCATCCCATGTCCTAAACATGCCAAGAAAAATGAAATTAATTTTTTAATGGATCGTGGCCAACTCTATTTCCTGTGATTTTATTATAAACCTACATATTAACAGCCACAAAAGTGACCTAATCTCCTTTACCTTGTCAGTGATTTATGGGAGTAGAATCCCTCACAAACAGGGCTCAAAACCAGACCTAATTATAATCACTAATATAAATCACCTTCATGTCTCCTGAGTTTGGTTTAAAACACCATCCCTGTAATATTTATATTTGTTTCAACACTTCTTTGCAAAGAAAAAAGGGTGAAAAAAACCCCAAACCTTTTGAAACCCAGCCCCAAAGCCCTGGTTTATTTATGGGAATCATCCTGGGAGAGGAGCAGCCTCTCCCTCAGGGGGTAATGACACGTTTCTCATTAGCATAAATCTGCATCTCATTTTCCCCACCCCTCCAGAGCCATTAGCAGAGTTAACAGGGCTGCTCCTCCATCCTCTCCCACCTTCCCAAAACAGGGAAGAAATCTGGATGAGGGAAGGCATGAAGTGGCTCTGAATGCCTCTTGTGAGCAACGTGGAAAGAATGAAATGAAAGAGTTTGGGCCTTGGAAGGCGGAACAAAAGTGAACAAGCAAAAATGGGTATTTATAGCAAATGAAAAGAGATTTCATTTCCAAGGATTTCTGGGGTGGGTTTGCTATTCCTGCAGAGCTGTGGGGGTGTGGAGTTCAGCTCTCCTGCCTTTCCTTACTCAGCACTCGAGTCTCAGCCTCCTGTTTTGGATAATTATAACCTGAGCTCCTGAAAGGAGCTGGGAGATCAGGAATGGCACAGCAGGGATCTGCTGGAAGAGCTACAACCAAATTATTCACAAGATTTCACTTTTTATCACTATCAGGGAATCATGGAAAATGGTTTGGGTTGGAAGGGACCTTAAAGATCATCTCATTCCAACCCCGTGCCATGGACAGGGACACTTTTCACTATCCCAGGTTGTTCCAACCTGGCCTTGGATAATTCCAAGGATCCAGGGGCAGCCACAGCTTCTCTGCCCAACCTGGGCCAGGGCTCCCCACCCTCACAGCCAGCAATTCCTTCCCAATATCCCAACTAAATCTTCCTTTTCCACTATGAAGTCATTCCCTGTGTCCTGTCCCTCCATTCCTTGTCCCAAGTCCCTCTCCAGCTCTCCTGGAGCCCCTTTAGGCCCTGGAAAAAGGAATGGATAACTCTGACAAAAGAGTTGACCCTAAAATAAATGGGTAACTCTGACACCAGAGGTTAAATTAAAAACACACTTACTGGGATCCTTTCTTCAATATCCAACTCTTCTTTCTTCGGAGTTTCCACAGGATTTGCTCCAACAGGGAGGAATTTGTCACCTCCTGCACTGGGGAAGGGCCTGGAGACCCCTCCAGAGCTCGGGGCGGATCCCAAACCCCCCTGGCTGCTCCCACCAGAACTAACGGGAACATTCAAACTATCCGGGGAAATTGCCCCCAGGTTGTCCCGGATGACGGGACCAGTGGGAATATTCAGGCTAAGAGACCGATCTTCAGGAGCATCCCAATTCTTCTGGCCACCAGTTGGAGAGCTTCCATCCTTTTTAAGGAGCTGAGCAACACTGGAAACCCAAACATTGGGATCTGAGCTTTGTCCAGTGTTGTTGTTTTCCGTGTCTTCACTGCTGGATCCAGAAACAATCTTCTGGATCATGGAGCCTCCTAAATTACTGCCCAACACTCCTAAAACATGTTTTTCTTCTTCTGGAGGCTGCAGATCCTCTGTGGAATTTGCTGGTGGAATAACCCCAGGCAAGGAATGTTTCCTGCTGGAGACATTCACGGCGTTGTCCGACTGGGATCTCGTAAGAGAGGGGACAGGCAGGAGGTTTTTACTTGGGAAATGCAAACTTCCCAGAGAACCTGTCTCCCTAGGGGGAGCAGCAGCAAAATCCTCGGGATTTCTGCTGCTTTTCTGGTTGGACAAAGCATGGCTGGAGGAAATGGCAATGGCACTGGAGGCTTTTCTTCCAGGAGAAAATCCACCGGGAGTCCCGGCATGAGGAACCTCCTCTGGCTGGCTGACGTTCCAAGATCCAACCTTCTCCATGAAACTAAGGGATGGGAGGGACTGGATTCTTCCAGTGTGGGGATATTTCCACTTGAAGGGCTCCAAATGTCCACAGTTTTCCTTCGGAGCACGTTGGGGTGAATGCTGCTTCCCAGGGGTGGGGGAGTTCCCTGCAGGAACATCAGGACACGTTGGAGAGGCCTGGAGATCCGACCGGAGCGCCGGGACACCAAGTTGTTCTGCCTTGACTGTCTTCTTCAGGAATACCCCCGGAGTGGACTGAAAGATGGGATGAGCAAAGTGCAGGGAGAACGAGGCGTCGCCTCCGAGATTGAAGGAAGGGGAAATGTCTGTGACTTTATGGCCCCTTTCTATGGAAAAATCCGAAGGGGTCAATTCGCTCCCGCTCCCTCCGGGATCGGCTCCCGCCGGATATTCCGCACCGCACGGAGGCGTCTCCGTGTCAACAACCCGCTGTCCAGGTGCACAATCCCTGGTGTCTGTCCCAGCAGGGATCAGCTCCTCTTTCCCAAATCCCACTGCAGGAGGTGGTTGTTTGCCCTGACCATCCAGGAAGGCTCCCTGGAGTTCCTCAGGGATGAACTTCGAGCTTCCAGAGCCGTTTAAATCCACTCGGTGTTCCTTGGACATCCCTTTGCCTGGCTCAGAAGTCTTGGAAGAAGGAACATCGGGAGCACTTGGATTTTGGGAATGGTCGTTCCTCGAGCCATCAGATGAATTATTTGACAAATCAAGCTCGTTCTTTTCCAGCTTTTCCAGGACTCCTCCCTCACTCTTGACCATTTGCACCTTCTCCTTTTGCATCTCCCTCTCGCTTTTTTCCGTCAGAGCTGTTTTGTAGGAGGAATTTCCTGAAGACGAGAACTCATCCTGCCTCAGGAGCTCCTTCTCTTTCCCTGGAAGCTCAATACCAGCAGCTGGACCATCGCTGTCACTGGAGGAATGTCCATCATTCCCAGACGTGCTCCGGGGTTCCTTTGGGAGAGAAGTTCCCGCTTGGTTTGGCCTCTTTTCCAGCAGCACCTTTGGAGCAGAGTTTGTGGAATCCTCACTTGTCTGGGGACTCGATGCCTCCTCATCAGTTTTCCAGGATTTCTTGCCCTCCTTGCTCCCACGCTGTCCGGACAAGGAGTTTTGGGAAGACAAATCGGCATCTCCAGGATCAGCAGGTCCGGATGGAAAGGGATGTTGGGACAAGGAGCAGCCACTGGGAGCATCCAAGGGAGGGGCTGTGTCCCTCAGGGATGGAGAGTCACGGACGTGGGAAGGCTCCAAAAGCTCCTGGGACACTCCAGAAACATCGGGAATTCCTCTGGAAGAGACAAGAAAAGGAAGTGAATTTCTCGTTACCCTTTTTAATCTCAATATCCTGATTTTCTGCTTAAATGTCACAGAGAAAAGCAGAATATCCCTTAAACAAATACCTAGGGTTAAGCAAAATACACCAAAAAAAAAATCCCCTCAATGGCCCAAAACCTGAAGAAATGGAAAAAAAGAAATACTAAAAATAATAATAAAATATAATAAAAGAATCTTTATAAAATGTCTTTATATATATATACAATATTTTTTATAAAACATTATATTATTGGTATAATTAATTAGAAAATATTCATATTTTATACAATGACTCATAATTCTATAACTAATTATAAAATATTGTGTTAATATTCTATTTCTAATGTACTTATATAAAGATATTTTTAAAATGAAAATATAATATGTATGTTTTATTTATTACATAGTTATTATATATTTATAGATACATATTTATATATCTGGATATAAACATATATTTATATACCATTTTTATATAAATGCATTAAATGTTTTCTATAATATATATTTTATTACATACTTGTCATATAATATATTTATTATATAATATTATGTAATAAATATTACACATAAGTATTGTAATAATAACTATTCTATATAAAGTAGATGTAAACTATATACTAAAATATACAGTCCCAAAATAATAAAAAATAAATAAAAATGTGTAATAAAAAGAAATATTATAATAATATTAGTTTCTACTTAGTTTGTCAATATTTTTTGACCTATTTAGGATTCAAATGTTTTTTCCTGACAGGATGTTATTTAATAAAGAAATAAATGGCACTTTCTCCCACCTTAAGGGAATAAAATCCATTCCTGAGGGCTGGAAGAGCGACTCATCCAGGATCCTTGGGCCTCCTGTTGAGCACATCAGGAGCGGGAGACACGGAGAGAACCGACTTTCCTGGATTTCTGGGAAAATAACAAGGAAAAAAGAACAATAAGAGCTTTGCCTTCCCATTCAAATCCCCCTCCAACTGCAGGGAAAACGATGGAATGCCATCCCTTGACCCCTCTGCTGGAGCAGGTTCCCTCAGGGAGGGAATTCAGCTTTCCTGTCAGGGAGCAAAATCCGGGTTCTTCTCATCCATCTCCAAACATTCCATGGCACTGACATGTCCAGCTTATCCATAAACTTCCTTTTGTGCACATTCCCATCCTTTCCCGCTCCCTGGTCAGCCCCTCCCATCCTGATTTCCATGCAGGATGTCCACATCACCTTCTACTTCCTTAAAATCCAAGAGACCCCACTGATCCCTTTCCCAGCCTCCATTTTTCCATAAATTTCCATTATAGCAAAGGTTACACGGGATTTTTTTTTTTCCTTAGGGATTCCAGATAAAGGAATTTCTTTCAGGATGAAGGATGAAGGAACAATAAAACTTAAAGGAACAATGACACTTCAAGGAAGAATAAAACTTAAAGGAACAATAAAACTTTAGTTTAAAATTAACTTAGTTTTAAAATTGATTTAATTAATTTTGGTTAAATGTGAATTAAAATGCTTTTTTGGAAGGAGGAAGGGGGAGGGAAAGGAAAAAGGGGGAAGGAAAGAAGGAAATGGGGGGAAGGAAAGGAAATGGTGGGATTTGGGGAATGATGGGATTTGAATCACAATTTCATTCGTGGTTTGAAATCACGGAACGGGAGACTGAGCTAATTCAGTGGGATCTGCTTCACTTTTATTTAAAATACACAGAAAACAAATATTTGTGTTCAGGGGCTGATCCTGCCACAGCCTGGACATCCAATTCCTCGTTCCCAACCATTCACCTGGAGCAGACAATATTTCCAATGCATTGATTCCATTTAATGTACATTTTTGGCCCTTATACTTGAAAATAATTGGACCCAGAACTGCATTAAAGATGCCAAAACATGGATTTAAAGAAACTTTAGGCGAGTTGGAACCTAAATTATTTTAGCTCTGCTGGATGGACATTTCCCCCTCCCAACTCTTGTTTTATATTTAAAATAATAAAATAAAATAATATTATTTGGAGTTCTCAAATTCCTCCGTAATTCCCATTTTATGTTTACACAACACGGCATCTTATTTTGATTCAAACAATAGAAGAGAAAAGTAAGTTTTCCTGCTTTTCAGCTCCATTTCTTCACTCTGAAAATGTATTTTCCAGCTGAAGTGAAAATCAGGAGGGATTAAAGAAAAGGCTTTTCCACAACATAAAAATTGGGTGTGCTTTGGGAAGGAAGAGACAAAAAGCACTGAAGGAAGGATCAAGAAATAATGGGGAAAAAGCTGCCAAAAATAGATTTTGACTAACTATTTTTTATCATTTATTTTATCAATACAGGTGTAGATATAAGTCCACATACACACACATATATATACAGAACATAAGTCACAATATCTGGCTGATAAATCAATATATTGTATCAACAAAAACAGAAGTACCACTCAACATCTGCATTAGGAAAGTCAAACAGATGAAAAAGTGAATTAAGATTCTCCAAGCAAAGCTGGAAACTGGGAATTCTCACTTCATCGAGTCCCTTCCAGAGCCTTCTTGTCTCTGCCCTATGGGAAACTCCAGAAATCCCTAAATTCTGCCAGAGAAGGTCCATGGATGAGGCAGATATTTGCCAAGTAACAGTGCACAGAGCATCCCTACAGGGCAGGGAATCCCTCCAAGGGTCCATGGGATATTGGGAAGGAATTCCTGGCTGGGAGGGTGGGGAGGCCCTGGCACAGGTTGGGCAGAGAAGTTCTGGCTACCCCTGGATCCCTGGAAGTGTCCAAGGAGCAACCTGGGCTGGTGGAAGGTGTCCCTGCCCACGGCAGGGGGTTGGAACTGGATGGTCTTTCGGGTCCCTTCCAACCCAACCCATTTCCAACCCGACCATTACATTCCAGTGGGAACAAGGTGACCTCACACAGCGGGAATAGCAGGACAAGGAAAAAATCAGACTCTTCAGTAGGAGATTTCAGCAGAGCTGTCCCCCTCAGACTGAGATCCTTCAGGAACTCCCTCCCCAGCTTCTCCCAGCAGCATTCCCGTTTCGCCAAGCACCAGAAATCTGCCTCAGGCTGACAGTTCCCACCTTCCCCAGAGGTTCCCACCTGGAAAAACCATGGTGGGGATCCCTGACTTGAAGCAGCAGAGAACTGACAAGGCCAGGAGAGAAGAGCGAGCCAAAAAGGGAACATAAAACCCAAGGAAGAGAGAGGAAAGCTGCAGCCCCATTCCCTGTGGAAATCCACTTGCTCCCTTTAGGAAGCCGCAGGGATGACCTGCAGAAGAACCTCCTGGAGGTCAATAAATGCCATTTAACGGGGGCTACAACCCTGCTTTTATTTCCCATATAAACCCCAAACCCAGCCACGCCCCACGTTCCACCTCCCGCCGCTTTCTCCCATCTCCCAGCACACGACCCCGGCGTGTTTTCCTTTCAGCCCCTCGTTTTCCCCAGGGAGGCAGAAAAGATCCCTGTGATCCCGTTTGGGATGCTCGGGGTGGGTTCTGCCGGCACAGGAGCAGCTGCTCGGAGCTGAGAGCAGCCAGTGACGTCAGCGCATCCCTCTCGGAGCAGCTCGTGTGTCAAAACACGGATTTCTCCTGAAGGTCAAAAGCTCCCTCGCAGGCGAGTTCACCGAGCAGGCAGAGCTGGGCACGGTCCCCTCCTTCCCAGCCCGCTGGAAATTCCAAATGCCACTGTCAAGCTGCCGTTTGGGGGAGGTAAAACAAAAAGGAAGGCAAAATACAAACAAAAACCATCCGAGCTCTGTCAGGCTGTTCCACGGGAGCAGTTTCAGTACAAGTGGCATCTGAGTCTCCCTTCCTGCAGGGAGATTCCAGATATTTGTGAAAAGAAGAAGAAATAAATTATGTTGGAGCTTAATTTTTTTCCTTCCCTCTCACCTCTGCTCCCGGATCTGGGAATGAAGTGCATGTACAAAAAGCCTGGAGCTGCCAGGACAGCTCTGAAGAGGAAGAAATAAAAGAGCAGCAGGAGAGAGAATTCTCGTGCCTTTCTATCGATGTTAAAAAATATATCATTGAAAAATATAATGTAAAAAAATATAGTGTTAAGAATACAATTTTTAAAAATGTATTGTTGAAAATTTAAAATGTAATCAAAATGTAAAATACAATCAAAATGTAATATAATCAAAATATAAAATACAATCAAAATATAAAATACAATCAAAATATAAAATATATCATTAAAAATATATCATATTAAAAATATCATTAAAAGTATATTATGTTAAAATATATCAGTAAAAATATATCATCTTAAATATATTATATTAAAATATATTTAAAATACTGTATTTTTAAAATTAATATTAAAAATAATATTTAAATATATCATATTTTTACATTTCATATCAAAAATATAACATATTTTAATTTTTTCATATAAAAATATATCCTGTTTTTAAAATTTCATATTAAAATTTATATTTTAAATATATTAAAGTATTTCATACTAAAAATGTTAAAATATTTTATATTAAAATATATATTAAAATATATAATATTAAAATATATAATATCAAAATATATAATATCAAAATATATAATATCAAAATACATACAAAAGATTTAATTATTTAATTTAATATTAAAAATATTTCATATTAAAACATATATTACATATTTTATATAAAAACCTATTAAAATATTTTATATTAAAATATTTCCTATTAAAAATATATACTATTAAAATATTTCCTATCAAAATACATAATATTAAAATATTTCCTATGAAAAATATATACTATTAAAATATTTCCTATTAAAAATATATCATATTAAGAGATATCCCATTAAAAATATATCATATTAAAAAGCTTTGTGTTTTCTCCTGAATTCCAGTTGCATTGAAAACACAAACCCTTATAAATACCAGGGAGTTTTTATGGATTAAATGGTTTCCAGTTCTGCAAGCAACAATAGCGAAGAAGAAAATGCTATAAAATATATTAAATAAAATAATCCTACACGAAGGAGGGAGGCAAGGACAAAGCAGGAGGATGGGGAGGGACTGGAATGGAATTCCCAGAGAAGCTGTGGCTGCCCCTGGATCCCTGGAAGTGTCCAAGGCCAGGTTGGAGCACCCTGGGCTGGTGGAAGGTGTCCCTGCCCATGGCAGGGGTGGCACTGGATGCTCTTTAAGGTCCCTTCCAACCCAACCCATTCCCTGACTCTCTAAGAACAGAGGCCAGCAGGAACAGCAAAGCCCCATCCCAAGAAAAGTGAGAAAACATCAAATTTTTAGACATTTTACAAGTAATTATCCCCTTTCCATTAGTCTGTGGTAACACCACATCCACACAGGAAAGTCCCTTTAACTGCACAGTTTGGGGGAAATCTTCCAATAGTACAACATTTAATCTATAATTCCTCAGTCTTTCCTCTTATCTTGAAAGAATAATTAAAGAATACTTAGCAGATACCTTTGTAAAGGGCTACTGAAAACCTTTTAAAACTGTGTTTGGACATTACTTTGACTATAAAGAAATCCTGTAAGGAGCAGGGAAATATAAGAGCAGTTGGAATTTATGAGACCAGGGTACAGGCCTGAACACACCCTTATCAAACAGTTTTTCATGTTATCAATGCAAATATATCTACTTTATCATCATACTTACCATTGTGAAATAAATAAGGATTTTTGACTTATGAATATAATACAGATTTTAAGGGCACAGAGAACTATCATCTCACCCAGAGAGAACCCGAAAAATGGCAAACTTTACTCGGGTCTGCCCTTAATTCTAAAGGAAAAAACAAGATTTTAGTTTTACCTGGGACAAAAAATAATCTGTTAGAGAAGCTGCAGGGAAGGGACAAACCCTCTGTGTCATCTTGGAAGGTGGGTCTGGACAGTAAAATTACACCAAATGCAGTTTGGAAACACAAAGAAATCAAACCCAGGTTAGGGGTTGATTTAACAGCAAAACCTTAATTGCTGAGCAGTTCGAAAAAAGGCCACTGTGAACATACCCAGCAGTGAGCCCCGGGCTGGATCTCCAGGAAAACTCCTTCTGGATGCTCCTCCTAAGGACAACATTCCTTCCTCCAGCGTGGGGAATTCTGACAGGTCATTCCTCTCACAAGTCAGGCCAAGCTTTGTCTCTGAGGTAGTGGTTAAACAGCTGGAATTTACTTCTGCTGGAAGCTGGAACCACGGCTCAATTCCCTAAAAACACAGCAGGAGAAAAAAGTGCTCCAGTATCAAGCAGGTACTTCCAAAGGAAATAACGACCAAGTACTGAAACAACACAATTACTGATTCTGAGTTGTATTTCTCATACAAAGACTCAGTCTTTAATGTAAATATATATATATATATATATATGATAAACTAATAAAAGCCATAAAATATCCCAGGGAATGATCAAAGTCCAGCACAATCCCTGTTTAATACCTGAAAGCTCTTCAACATCTGAACACCACGGAGCCATTTAAAGCTGGTTTTTTCCGCATCAGAATTTTGCTGTGCGAGCCCCAGTTGTCGCACAAGGCTCTTCCAATCCTTCAGAAACTTAATTCTGAGCAGCTCAGGCCTCCCAAACCACCTGTGAGCTCCTGGAATCCTCAGAGCAATCAAACATTTGGCAGCACCTCCAGCAGACGGAGCGGCCAGGACTGGATGTGGCATCTCCATCAGGCACATCACGCCCTTCACGGTAATTTCCACCCCATAATTAACCTCCAGCCCCAAGCACGCCAAAGCTCAGCACAAATACCCAATTAGCAGCGGTTTTCCTACGGATTGCTTCTCCCAGGGAGATCCCACTGGCCGCTGATCCCTGCGTTTCGCTGCTGTTGCTGCGGCTCCAGGATTCCTCCCTCCGGTCCCGCCGTGGGGGAGTCGTGGCAATGGGCTACAAGGAATTTATTCCTGATTAAAAACACATTATCTCTTGCCATTTCAGTGTGTGTGTGTTTATTTACTCATTAGGACATACCTAAAATACCATCCCCGAAGTATCCCCAAAAATTGGCTCCTCCCCGTCCTCGGGTGGTGCCTTAAATTCCACCCAGACTCCCAAACTTGGTTGAAAGGGGCAGCTCCTTTCCTGCTTCTGGATCCCAAAAAACTGAGCCTGGTTTTGTGCACATCAGCCCATCATTTCTGAGAGCCAGGAATTTATTTCTCATTCCCAAATCCACACAAATCACAAAACACCAAAACGACTCATCCCCTCGACCAGAGTCTGACATTTGTCCTGTGTTCGTTCAATGGTTGTTGACTTTCTAATATTTATATATATTTACTTATTTATTTATATATATTTTACACATTACAATACTGTAATATTTATTATTTTATTAAAATCATGTTTTTACTTATATCAATGTCATAACATTCAATTTTAAAAGCCATCTTAGGTAAATCACTTCATCAAGCCCAGTTAATTTCTAGATTATAATCAGGCAATACTTTGAGGGCGGGAATTGAAGTTAACTTGGATTCCTGCCAGGAAAAGAAGCTGTGACATCATTTTTTTGCCCCCATGAGGTACCAGAGGAAGCTGTCCCTGAACTCAGAATAAAATTTCTCCTCTAGAACATCCCATTCCTGAGGTCACAGAGGCTGGAACAGCATTTCCCAGACAGCACAGCCAGGCAGGTTTATTGAGGTTATCCCTGGGAAAACAGGTATTCCAGGAACACAAAAATGCTCCCTGTCACCTCCACCTGCACCAGGAACTATGGATCCACTGCCTGGTGGAATTACAGGGATCCATGAAGTGGGAATTCACATGTGAGGGGCAGAAATAAAAGGTCACAGACAGAGAAAAGGATTTCCCAGGATGAAAGAGAGAAAAGACCAGACCCAAGACCTGTTTTAATGTAAAAGAAACCTTCAAAATTCAGCATTTCAGGCTGTTTCCTTTAAATGTCAACATTCCCTCCTAGATTATCTAAACTGGCTGGATTCTCTTTCATCCTTATGCACTAAAAAGCTGGAAAAGATGGGAATAAAAGCTTAAGATCTTGTAAAATTTATGACATATTGGAAGGTCAGAAAGGTCAGCTCACTCTCCTATTTATTAATGCCATTGCTTTACAAAACGTAACATCTACAAAAAAATAAATTACAGCCACCACAAATTAATTATCCACCTGTTCTGTTCCCGAGAATCCATCGATTCTGCCATGGAGGGAGTGGATTTAGCAATTTCAGGTGAGGAAAACCCTTTGGATTAAGTCCCACCTGTTCAAGAGACACCCGAACTCCTCACCTTGCTGTGCTTGGGTTGTCACCTCCTTGTCCCCAGCCCTTCCCTGGACACCTCCAGGGGTGGGGACTCCACCAAAAGAGATCCTTAAGGAAAAATAATCACTTCCTGAAGTCAAAGACTTCCCACACAAGCAGGATGTTCCTGCTAATCCTGAGTTAATGTGTGCTTTCCCAAGCCCAAGCTCCAAGTGGCAGCTCCCAGCAGGAGAAGGAAACAATCCCTCCTTTCCGAGGGAGCAGCTGGAAGGAAAGCAAAGAGGCAACAGCACATTCTGCTTCGTGATTTCGTTTTTCACCCTCATTCCAAAGGGGAATATCCAAGAAATTCACACAGTGGCAGGAATCTGCACGGTGTGTACCAGGATACAGGTACTTAATGGAGCTGTTGCAAGCAAGAAATAAAGATTTAGTGAATTAGCACAATCATCTCTGAGGGCTTCCATGGAATTAAACCCAAATGAAGGAACCTCAGCAGAAACTCAACAAGCTTTTTTGATTCCTGAAATCCAACACCCCAAAAGTTCAGTTTTGCTGCTGAACACATAAAAGAGGTGGTGGGGAGGGGGGGGAAACAGAAATAAAGCTGAACAAACCACAACCACCCCCACACAAGGCATTGCCAGGGAATAAAACAGTTGGAGCAGCAGCTCCTGATTGGATCTCTGAAGTGAAATATGAACGGTGCTCGGTTTTGAACTCCTGAAGGTTTGAATATCCAGGTTAGTCCTCCTTTATTCTGCCCCCTCCAGACCACTAAAATATCCCAGTAAAAATATCACACAACAGAAGCCAGGAGAACAAAGAAAAAAAGGAGATTTATAGAGACACAGGGAAGAGAACTCCTAAGATGATTAACTCCAACAATCTGATCTTCCCAAAAGATCAGAAATACTCCATAACTTCTTCCCAACGCTTCAGCTCTTTCCTCCTTCCTAAAAATCAGAGCTACGGGGCCAGATTAATTCAATAGAAACCCATGTTTCAGTTTCCCCATCCCTCTGAAAACGCAGCTGCAGAATTATGAGCCCTGGAAAAATTAGCAGTGGAGTTCAGGAGCAACTTCTCCAACATCAGGGGGTTTTTAGCCCAAACTGAGGTGACAAAGTAACAGTGACAGAGGCAGATCCCACCTTGACAACTCCAGGACTTCTTTTTCCCTATTTTGTCAAGAACATTCCCAGTTCTAGAGCCATTTATCACTTCCCCTGGCACAGCTTTATCTACTTATTTTCTAGGTCTCACCATCCACTGTTCATGGGATTTACCAGTGGAAATTCTTACTGTGAACAAGAGGAAAAAAAAACACAAAAACAAACAAAACCAAACAAAACCAAACAAAACCAAACAAAACCAAACAAAACCAAACAAAACCAAACAAAAACAAACAAAACCTAACAAAAACTAACAAAAACAAACAAAACAAACAAAACAAACAAAAACAAACAAAAACAAACAAACAAAACAAAAACAACAAAAAAACCACAAACACCAAAACCTGGAACGTCTTCCAAACTTACTGAGTATTTTCCCAGTCCATGCCAAGAGCAGAAACCCTTCTGAGGTCACATTACAAACCAACTCCATCACCCTTTTAGCTCCTACAACCCTCACCCTCCCAGAGATGGTGATTAAATGGGTTTGGAATCCATTTTCAATATTCAATACTCTCCTAACATTGTATTTCAGGTGGTTTCATGGAATCATTAAGGTTGGAAAAGCCCTTTAAGTTCAAGTCCAACCATCAAGTGACAGGTCCACCACTAAACCACGTCCCCAAGTGCCACATCCACATGATTTCTGAACCCTTCCAAGGATGGTGATTCCACCCCTTCCCTGGGCAGCTGTGCCAATGCTTGACAAGCCTTTCAGGGAAGAAATTATTCCTAATATCCAATCTAAACCTCCCCTGGCACAGTTTTAGGCTGTTTCCTCTTCCCTGGAAGAAGAGACCTTGTCAAAGGTTGTGGTTTTCATTTCTCCATCAGTTTATGTTCAAACTGCACGTGGGGATAATTCATAAACTATATCATTTATCACAAGCAATAGCTAATCCAAGCTTTCCAGGCTTTCTCCCTGGCCTGGGAAGCCTTTGGAAGCAGGAGCAGGGTGGGGTGTGAGCTCCTCCACGCCCTGTCCCCAGTGCAGTGTGAGCCCTGTGCCACTTGGAGTCACCAGCCCACAGCTGTGGGCAAGGAATGAAGGAGCATGGAAAACAGGAACCCATTTCCCTGTGCAAACATGGAATTGGCCACCCTGTCCCTGAAGATTAAAGATATTATTTAGCCAGAACACAGGGAAATGTAGGTCAGGTTGTCTCATCCCAACCTGCTCATTTCAGGGAGCAATTATCAGCTGGGAATGAAAAACCGAGGAAAAGCAAACCCATGGCGGTGCAAAAGCCCTTCAGAGGCCACACACAAACTCAGAATTCCCATAAAAATGCAACTGGATTTCGTAATAACCCAATAATTTCATTTATTTACGGCTTTATAGCCTGTATCAACCCTGCCTGGTGTGTCAGAACACAGAGTAAAAAAACCACGAGTCTCATTCAAGCACAGAACAAGGTTTAACATCTCTTTTTTTTTTTTTTTTTGGCCAGAAGCCCAGAACCACAAATTGGATGAAAATCATCAGCACTTAAGTCCAGCTACTGGAAATGAATAACGAAATTCTCTTGTCTGCAAACAGTTCAGCACCAGAAGTTCATCGGTGAAAATACAAGAAATATTTCAAACACGTCAGTCAGAGAAATGTAGCAATGATTTGGTGCAATCAGGGCTGAGAAACAGTAATTATTTTGGGATCAGACCCAGCCAGCATGGGGTTAGGAGGGCAGGCAGGTCCTGTCTGACCAACTTGATCTCCTTTTAGGATCAGGTGGATCCCGCCTGGTGGGTGAGGGGAAGGTGTGGATGTGTCTATCAGGACTTCAGCACAGTCTTTGACATCATATCCCACAAGACACTCCTGGAAAAGGTTGGACAGGGACACTCCCTGCTGGGTTAGGAACTGGCTGATGGTCGGGCCCAGAGAGTGGTGGGGATGGAGCTGCATCCTGGTGGGATCTGGTCACCAGGGGTGTCCCCAGGGATCAGGGCTGGGCCCAGTCCTGTTTAATCTCTTTATGGATGATTTAGATGAGGGGATTGAGTCCACCATCAGCAAATTTGCAGATGACACCAAGCTGGGGGGTGTGCTGATGTGCTGGAAGGCAGGAGGGCTCTGCAGAGGGACCTGGACAAGCTGGATCCATGGGCTGATTCCAAGGGGATGAGGTTCAACCAGGCCAAGTGCCGGGTCCTGCCCTTTGGTCACAACAACCCCGGCAGCCCCCCAGGCTGGGACAGAGTGGCTGGAGAGCAGCCAGGCAGGAAGGGAGCTGGGATTTGGGATGGACAAGAAGCTGAACAGGAGCCAGAGGGTGCCCAGGGGGCCAGGAGGGCCAATGGATCCTGGCCTGGCTCAGGAACACTGTGGCCAGGTTGGCCAACCAGCCAGGTTGGGGTCAGTCTCTTCTCCCAGGAACCAGCAGTAGGACAAGAGGGCTCAGCCCTGAGCTGTGCCAGGGAAGGTTTAGGTCGGATATCAGGAAGAAATTCTTTCCAGAGAGAGTGCTCAGACACTGGAATGGGCTGCCCAGGGATGGGGTGGAGTCACCATCCCTGGAGGTGTTTAAGGACAGGCTGGATGTGGCATCAGTGCCATGGGCTGGGAACCACGGCGGGGTTGGAGCGAGGGTTGGACTGGATGATCTCAGAGGCCTTTCCCAACCCAGCTGATTCTGTGATTCTATTTTAGCTATACCTTGTTTTTTTCAGTAAAAAACCCCAGTATTTCCCAGATCCAAACCATCCCCTCCTGGCACAAAGGCACCTCCAACCAGCAGATCTGGTAAATTCTGACCTGCTTTATTTGGTGCAACAATTATTGGGCTTTTGAACCCATGAGAGATCAGATCTCAAACACCGATCAATAACACAACAAACTGCCAGGGATGTGCTGAAAACATTCCAAGGAAGGTGAAGCTGGATTTTTACACAATATCCACTGACATATTTAAGTTTCCACTGTCGAGTTTGTAACATCAACAGACTTATGGAATGGCCCAAAATAAGTGGGAATTAGCAAAGCTGCCTGGGTTTCCTAGGAAAGAAAGGTGGCCAGAATTCCCTGTTCACAGCCAGGGAACAGGAAGCTGATCACTGTAATGCACCTTAATCCCTAAAGTACAAGTTTTAGTCAGGTAATCACAGAGTACCTGAGGTTTCCAGGCACCTCTGGAGGCCTCCTGGGCCAAGCTCCTGCTGGAAGCAGGACTAACTCCAAGGTGGATCAGGGTGTTCAGGATCACCCCTTCAATTTGTGGCCATTTCCAAGGATTGAGTTTCACCCATTTGATTTTCATTCCTGTGCAAAAATCCCTTAAATCCTCACTGGCCAAATCCCACCTCCAATATGAACGTTTAGCAGAGCTCCTGAATTATTTTATACAATGAGAAGCTCAACTACTTCTTCACATTCTCAGCTTTGGAGCATTTAGAAAGCTCTGGATAACCCCTGATTTTTAATTTATTCCATTTTAAAATCCCACTTACAATCTGTATAGCACAACTTGTAGTTAAGAAAATGCTCATTCCTTTATCTTTTCCACATCAGATCACCAATGGAATTTTCCACATTAAATCTTTGCAATTGAAGCTCTTTCTGATAATTCTCAACTACTTAGTCTTCCAAAGAACAGGGATTTCCAAAAATCACCTGGTCCAAGCTCTCCTGGGAAAGGGAGCCTTGGCCAAGCCTCATTTCCAATTAGAACCAGTAAAATTTCCCAGGAATAATGAACATTCTGGAACGAAGCCACCAATTTGCAGCACTTAAGAATGAAATCCAAAAGCCTGACCCTCCTGGACCTGATTTGTAATGTTTATCTTTAGCTCAATGCAGAACCAAAAACTTGGATTAAATCATCCCCATCATCAAAACCAAAGTGAAAGTGGGAACAGGCAAAGTGTTTTCACTGATAAAACCTGAAATATTTAAACAGGCAGAAGATTCTTCTGGGTTAGACTGTTCCTGCACCCAGAGGAGCAGCCAGGGAGGAACGAGCTTGGCTCAGCTCCCACCTGGAATTCCCAGAGCCAAGCTCAGGTTGTCAGAGCAGCACTTGAACCCCCAGAGCAAAACAAACTCAGAGAAGGAAGCAACAGCCTCCAAAAAAAAACCCCACAACAGAACCTGACACCCAAAAAGGAGCAAAACCACCTGACCTGTGATGAACAAAACAAGCAGCAGGAGGTAAATCCACTGGTTTATAACATCACACCCAGCTTAGGATCATGAAGTAGAAATTTGTTTGTTAAAGCAGCAATTAAAGGAACTTCATTTCTATTTAAACACACAGAAGAATAAGCATTAGAGCAAGAACCATCCCTGCTGTCCTGGGGCAAACTATCCTTCCTGAAAACACACAGGGAAAAGTCCTTCTGCAGGTTTTTGGAAGCTGAATTAAGACAGCACTCAATTCCCATGATCCTTAAAGTCAGACCTGCCTTTAACACACCATATTTATTCCCATGGCCTTTTCCACTCTTTGTTTTAGCCTTTGCCATTTTTCCCTGGTAGGAGAATGAACCTCTCCCAGTCCATGGCTCTTCCCAGGGCACGTTTCCAACAGCTGATGTGGCACCCACCACTGCTCACCACGTGGCTGCTGCACCTCCGAGTCCCTTCTGAGCTCTGGGATGAAGCTCTGAAACGATCCCTCTGCATTTTGGGTTGTCCCCTTGTACCTTCCCTGCCACAGAACGATGGATGTGACACATCCACAAACACCTCCAGCCCCCAGAGTCACACCAGAGCTGTTCAAGGACACAGAGGAACCTCCCAGCACTCTGCAACACTCAGAACCTGGGCAGGTGCTCCAAGCCCTTCACACCTCTGGAAGCCACCCCGGGAAGAGCAGGACACAACCCCGGGTGCCAGGGAAGTGAAACTCCTCGGGAAGGATCTTCCCAGTGCTGTCACAAGTGGAAACTGCGGGAAGACACCGATTCCAGAGCGTGGGGGTGGCAGGATGTGATGGGACACGATCTCCTGAGATCTCTTCCCTGCCTCCAGCACTGATGGGAACCACAGCAAAGTGCACAGAGGTGTGTGTGAGCCTTTCCAGGGAATGAGAGGCTCCGTGGGGACACTCCAGCTCAGCCTGGAGAAGAAAAAGCTTCAGGGAGACCTCCAGCACCTTCCACTACTCCAGCATCTTCCACTACTCCAGCACCTTCCACTACTCCAGCACCTTCCACTACTCCAGCACCTTCCAGTACTTGAAGGGAGCTTAAAAAATAAGGGAAGCAGCAACTTTTTACACAGGACAAAGGGGAACACAGTTAAATTTAAAGTGGACAGATTCAGACTGCATGTTAGGAGGAAATTCTTCCCTGCAGGAGTGGCGAGGGACTGGAATGGAATTCCAATAGAAGTCGTGGTTGCTGCACTCCTGGAAGTGTCCAAGACCACGTTGGAGCAACCTGGGATAGTGGAAGGTGTCCCTGCCCTGGACAGGGGGTGGCACTGGATGGGTTTAAGGTCTCTCCAACCTAAACTATTCCACGATTCCAGCCCCTCTGTCCCTGCATTCCCAGCAGGGTCAGTGACCCAGCCAGCAACGCCCACCCCTCCCCAAGGCACGACAAAGGGAAGAGAATAATCGAGAATTTAAAGTTATTAAACCGTAACTAGGGCAATAACAGAACACACCCGCCCTTTTCCCAGGAGGGGAGGAGGGATCCACCCTCCTCCCAGGGGAGAGTGCAGGGCATGGAAGGACCAGCCTGGTCCTCCTTCTGGGAGGAGAAGGGTGGGCTCAGCTCAGTCGCGTCCCCCCCACTCCTTGCTCTGGCGTGGGAACAGCGACTCCGCCAAAAGCCCCTTGGCGGGGCAGGCGGTGCGTTCAGCGGCCACGAGTGTGACCCAGCCTGCCGCACCCCAACCCGCAGCTCAGGCCGGGCGGCAGCTGCTCCCGCAAAGCCGTACCCACCGGAACCCGCTCCTCCTCCTCCGCTGCTGCTGCTTCTTCCTCCTGCTGCTGCTCGCCCCGTGCCGGCTCCATGGGCGGTGTGTCCCGGTGTGTCCCGGTGTGTCCCGGTGTGTCCCGGTGTGTCCCGGTCCGGGTGTCCCGCCCCGTCCCCAGCTCGGTGGCCCCGCGGCCGCACCGGTCGCCAGGGACTCGCGCGCGCGCGCGCGCGCACACGCGTGGGGACCGCCCCCTTCGGCCGCGCCGCGATTGGCCGAGGGCAGCGAAGGGGGCGGGGACGTTGGGTGAGCTCCGGAGCGCTGATTGGTCGAGAGAGGGAAAGGGGGTGTGGAAACGCAAAGGGGTGGGAGGGGCGTGGTCTGAGGGGCGTGGTCGGCAGAGGGGCGTGGCCGGGCGGGCAGGGTTTTGGCGGGCGGGGAGGCGGGAGATGCCCGGATGGAGCCGGGAGAGGGAGGGTAATTTAGGGAGTCGTGGAATGGTTCCGGTGAGGGGGAATTTAAGGGTTACTCAGTTCTATCCGCTGCCACGGGGAGGGACAGCTTCCATCAGCCCGGGGTGGTCCCACCCCAGTCCATCCTGGCCTTAGACGCTTCCAGGGATCCAGGGGCAGCCACGGCTTCTCTGGGAATTCCATTCCAGTCCCTCACCGCCCGCACGGGGAGGAGTTTCTTCCCAAAATCCCATTTAAAAGAAGCACGGGATCATGTAAGTTGGGAAACACCTCTGAGATCACCAAGTCCAACCTTTGACCCGACACCACGTTGTCCCCCAGCACCGAGTCACCTTGTCACCAAGTGCCACGTCCAGTCATCCCTTGGACACTTCCAGGGACAGGGACTCCACCACCTCCCTGGGCAGCCCCTTCCAATGTCAAATCACCCTTTTTGTGAAGAAATTCTTCCTCATGTCCAACCTGAACCTCCCCTGGTGCAGCTTAATGTCATCTTGTCCTATCCCCTCCCCTCTGGCAGTGGGAAGCCATTCCCTGTGTGCTGTCCCTCCATGCCTTGTCCCCAGTCCCTCTCCAGCTCTCCTGGAGCCCCTTTAGGCCCTGCCAGGGGCTCTCAGGTCTCCCTGGAGCCTTCTCTTCTCCAGGGGAACCCCCCCAGCTCTCCCAGCCTGGCTCCAGAGCAGAGGGGCTCCAGCCCTGGCAGCATCTCCGGGGCCTCCTCTGGACTCTCTGCAGCAGCTCCACGTCCTTGTGCTGTTGTTCCCAGGGCTGGAGGCAGCTCTGCAGGGAGGTCTCAGCAGGTGTACACTGAGTGGAAATTCCTGTAAATTAGTGGGTTTCCAAATGAGCTTGGTGGCTGTGAGCTTGTCCTGTGCCAGAGAACCATTTCCCTTCTCTTCTGTCCCAGCCCACTCAGAGAGATCCCAGAATCCCCGAGCTTTGGGCCTTGGTGATGGACATCCTTTGAAATCACACAGCAGGCATTTTGAGACAGTGCTGTTGTTACCAGGGAATTAAAGCGATTTTTCCAAGGAGGGAAATCCATTCAGTTCTTTCCAAATCTCCAGCAGGAGAGATGGTCAGTGTGGGACTGTCAGGGACTGTTTTCCCACTTGAGCTGATGAAAGGAGAAGCCTGGAGTTTGAGGAGATGCTCTGCAGCTTGGGCAGGTGGAGAAGTTGAGATGAATTTCTGTGTAAACACCTTTAGATCCGGGTGTCAGTGGGATCCCTGCAATCCTCCATTGCTTCCTGATCCCTGCAATCCTCCCTTGCTCCCCTTGAGGTGCCAGCAGGGAATGAGGAGCTCCACTTTTCCCTGGCACAGCCAGGACCTGATCTATGGAAGGTGTCCCTGCCCTCAGCAGGGGGTTGGAACAAGGTGATCTTCAAGGTCCCTTTCCAACCCAAACCATTCCATGATCCTGTGATAACACTCTCCCTGAGGCATTCCCTGCTTAACATTCCACGTTTCAGCTGGTTGTCAGCAAGGGCAAGGCAGGAATTTCCCCTTAAAATCCCGATTCTTATTTGTTTACTTATTTCATTTACTTCCTCTACAGCTCCAGGAGCAGGTGACAGCTGAAGCTGGAGCAGCAGAAGATGCAGCTCATTGATCTGACACGGCACTGACAGTCCTTCCCTCATGGATCAAGAACTGTGGAGGAGGGAGAGGAATCTCCAGGGTCATCGACTGCAGCTCCACCAGCCCTGTTTTACAGACAGAACCTCGTTTAATCTTTCATAAAGTTATTGAGCTCCATCTCAAAGGCAATTAAGCCTTTCTGGTGTGGGTATTAGCAATATATCCAGCTGTCCACATGGATAGAGCTCCAGACTGCCCGGTTATATCAGATAATAAATAACTGCACCGCTTTTTTATTCTCTGCTAATAGCTAAGCTGACTTAGACCGAAAAAATAAAGGTGCCTCCATCACATTTCCTGCCTCCTGAGTTATTTATTCTGCTTGGAGCTTTTCTCTGCCATGTATCCGACGTAACAATCTCCCAGAAGGCAGAGCCCGCGTCGGTTCCGTGGTGATTTGGGTGTTATTTTTCAGCACTCGATGTATCCAAACGCTCGAGGACGTCAAGGCAAACATTCCTTAAAATAATTAAAATGCTGACAGGAAAATGCAGCTTTTGATATCCAAACCCCCATCTCCTGTTACAAATGCAATTCAATTTGCTGGGCTCAGCCTTCCCCTAGTCCTTGTTTAACCACAGCCCTAAAAATCAGCACCTGTGGTCATTTATGAGCGGGGCCTGAGAAAATAGCACGGAACGAGGTGAATCCAGGAGGGAAAGGCAGAAATAAAAGAGTAAATCCCACTGAAAGAAGCAGCAATTCCATGCTTGCTTTCCCTGGAAGTACAAGGAGCAGCCTGCTTGATTTCAGTGCCGTTTTCCACCCTCATCCAAGGGAGAAGTTCTAATAACAGCTCCAAATGTCAGCGGTGAGGAAAACTTGCCATTTGCTGTTCTCGGCTGCGAGTGACTGAAGGGCTCCTCTTGTCACACAGCCCCGAAATCCTGTCATTCCCTTTATTTTTAGCAGAGCAATTCGCAGGCAGGGAGGGGAGGAGGGTGGCTCTGCTGCCTGTTTATCGCTTACACATCGCCCGGGAAGCCGTTCACGTTCCTTATTAATTTTCTAACAATATCCAGAGACTCACTCAGGCCGAGATGGGATGGGATGTGCTAAAAGGCTTTCCAAGAAAATGTCACCTGAAAGGAAGGATTGGAGAGGAATTTTTAAAAAGGCCATTGCTGGGGTGGGGAGGGGGTTGGGGGTGAGTTTCAGAGAAAGGTGGACCTGCTTCCCCCCAAAAAAATTCTGGGAACCCCGAGGGCTTTTCAAGGTGAACCTTTTAAAGGTGAGCTATGAGGATTAAAATATAGGATTGATTAATGTGCTAATTGCAGAGGAGAAGATAAAGTACAGGTGTTCCTGGTTAAATGCAGATATCTTGGAAAAAATGAATATTTAAACATCAGGTCGTGGCTGGTGCCAATGACGTGTTAATTGCCAAGTTTTTCAACGACGTGGGAATTCTTCCTATCTCGGATCCACGTGACAGAGGCCTCTGGATGTGAGCTCAGTGGAAGTGATTAATAACAGAGATATCCAGAACTGTGAATGTTACAAGCCCTTAATTAATAGGCCTTGTGTCCCTCCCCACACCTGATGGGACCAGGCAGCCTGAGAGGACAAACAGTGACAAGGTCATAAAATCCTGGCATGCTTTGGGTTGGAAGGGACCTTAAACACCATCCAGTTCCAACCCCCTGGGCAGGGAAACCATCCACTGTCCCAGCTTGCTCCAAACCTCATCCAAAACCTGGCTTTGAACACTTCCAGGGACTGGGGCATCCACAACCTCTCCAGGCAGCCTGTTCCAGATCTAATTGAGTTTCCAGGCTGTTGGATTTACATGCACTAAAGGCAGTTGGAAACTCATAGTTATTGGGATCTGATCCACAGGATTCTTCAGCTGCTCTGGAAAATAAACCTCAGCTCTTTTAGTGTTTGTGCAATTTCAGTGTCAGGCAACTCAAGGACACAGATATCTGACTAAGCTTTTTCTTCCAAAAAAAATTGATATGGCTGAATGGGAGAGATCCAGGTACTCTCTACACAGTCTCAGTAAAAAAAAAAAAAAAGAAGGGAAAAAAGCAAGGAAGTGAAGATAAAGTGTGTCAGTGGGCAGCAAGGAGAGAGAAAGTGCTGATGCACCAGAAGAGTGGTTAGGCAGGTGAGTCAATTAGTGAGGGACAGTGGGAGTGCTCTGCTAAAACAGGAGCTGGAATGTGTATTATTAGTGCAAGGGAAGGAGTTCAGACCGGGGCTGCAGGACATGAAACCGGGAATTAGGATAACGACGATAATAACGAGGTAGAGCTCCCGAGTCGGGGGAAAACGGGAATAAATGGATGAATGGGGAGGGTGTGCCATGGTTTACTAGGATGGAATGGATGGAACAGAACCAGTGTGAGAAGGAGGAAAAGCTGAGAACGGGTTTTTTGTCCCCGCTGGCTGCTGTGGCACCACTGGTGTTCCATGATTGCTGGAATCCTGTCGGAGGAAAGAGGAGGTTTATTAGCTGGATTGTGGCTAAATCAGATTGAGGGATAAACAGATCTGAGGCTTAAAGGCTGTTTCTGATCAGAAAGGAGAAAATCTGGATTAAACCAGGAAAACTGTTTAATGGGATGAAGTGATCTGAGGAACTCCGGCTCAGCGTCCCTCCGGCAAACCTCAGGCACCTAATTGGGATAATTAAATTGGAATGGTGGCTACCTCACAGTCCATAGCTGGAAAAGACCTTAAAAACCATCCAGTTCCACCCCCTGCCATGGGCAGGGACACCTTCCACTAGCCCAGATTGCTCCAACCTGGCCTTGGATACCTCCAGGGATCCAGGGGCAGGCACAGCTTCTCTGGAAAATCCATTCCAGTCCCTCCCCACCCCCTCAGGACCCCACTCTGTGAGGGGACACATTTCCTTCCAGTGACCCCAGAAGGAAAAACCAAACACCTACTTTAAGTACCCTGGAGGATGCCCAAAATTAAGTTCAATAGACCCAAGTTTTGGGAACCTGAACCTGGAGAAAGCCTGGAATTTCTTCCTGTCATGATGCTTTGGTTGTTTAAAATTTTATTCCATACACAGGGATGAAAACCCTGCCTTGAAAAGCTCTGGATCTGGGTGGAAAACAACCTCAGGGAGGTT